CACCTGCTTCGAAACGAACTTTGCCGCAATCGTATGCCTCCCAGTACGAGGGGGAGTAAATTTAAACTCCCCTCTAGCCACCCCACCCGGAGGTACAGTATCCTTCACCTTGACCTTCAACTTCCCCTCAATTCCCGGGCCTTCAACGGTAAAGACGCCCTTCTTCAGAGCTACTGGAAGAGGGTTCTCAACAGAAATATCAGCAGCGATCTCTGTGTCTTCCACAGGGGTCCCTTTCAGGGCTATTTTGATATCCGGCAGTCTTATCCTGAAGTCATCCTGGGCGAAGTACTCGAAGTTGGTGTCCTCGATCTTTGCCAAGCAAGACACGTTGAAAGCGCATTGGTCTATGAGCCTCTTTCCGTAGTCATCGTAAGTTAGTTCCGACTTCACTTCTTGGACAGCTTCTGGCTGGACAGTCACCGAGAAATTCTCGTTCTTCACGTTGCTGCCAACCTTGCCAGTATACGTCACTACTTCTACTCGCAAAATAACCCCTATTTGATAAGCCTTCGTCTTGCACCTGTTCTTCATCTCGAGACAGACGCTGAAAGGCTGGCCTATCTTGATGTCGTCGATGAGTTTGAAGTTGAACTTGATGTCGTTGAAGTCTTCGTTGAGGTAATACCGCGAGAAGAGATTCTCCGATTGACGCAACGCTCTCAGCATTGTGGTTCGCTCTTCGGGGGTTTTCTCTTTGTGTTTGTAAGTGTAGGTTATGTCTTCCCTCTCGAATGCTCCGGGGGCTTTGGTGCAAATCAGTTTTCCGATGGCTTGGGTATCTTTGCGGAGGAGTTTGAGGGGCTGGGTTGGACCGGCGTACCTCCAAAAGATCTGTAAAAATGCGAATCTGTTAGAGTTCAATCACATAGAAATAACTAGTGTATACATATTTGTAAAGATACGTAGCAAATTTCGGACAAAATAATAGTACGTAGTACTATTATTATAATTAGAATCTCTTTATATTAATTTAAATGAACGAGAGGCTGCTGCGGCGATATTCTGTAATTTATCAAAGGCATTCGACTGCGTAAATCATGGAATACTGCTCAGTAAACTTGAAGTTCATGGTTTTCGAGGCACGGTACTGTCCTGGCTCAGGTCGTACTTATCGGAGCGTGGCCAAATTGTATCATTTAATGGTATTAAGTCTGGAAAGCAAGTAATTGAGAGTGGAGTTCCTCAAGGATCAGTTTTGGGCCCGACTCTATTTGTCATTTATATTAACGACCTCACCAACTTAGACATCAAAGGTGAAATTACTATTTTTGCAGATGATACATCGATTCTATGGCACAACAAAAGCTCTTCAGAGCTCAACTACCACATAAGCATAGATATAGAAAAAGTTAAGAATTGATGTGATTCCAATCTTCTAACTTTCAGTTGAAGCAAAACAAATATCATGACGTTCAAGGGCGACTTAGATGTTGTTTATTTGGACAAGGGGCAAATCTCCATTTTTACGGATAATACATTTCTGATTGATAATAAATTGAAGTTTGGTAACCATATCACAAAACTAAGCAATCGATTAGCTTCAGGTTGCTTTGCGGTTCGTGTCGTTGCTAATGAGTTGAATTTGGGTATAGCGAAGAACGTATACTACGCACTAATAGAATCTCATCTTCGTTATGGAATCTGCTTCTGGGGCGCTTGTGCTCNTATTAGCGATAGTGACAATTAAATTGGTATGACGCTGTCAATTTGTGAATTTTCGAAATTGAATTGATACTAATTGTGTGGGAGGTCGTGTGACTTCAATTATTGTACCAGCTGTATCTTATAAGGTTTTACACCTAAATCCCTTTGCAAAATTTTCCACGTAGTGAAGTAACAGAGGCCCAATTGCTGCGAACGGCGGCGAATCGACATTTCACGGTCATCACGAACACTGGCGGATACAGCCGCAATATTTTCTTCGGTCCTCACTCTACGTATGTGTGTTGGTGGTTTAATGTCCAATCATGTAAACTGGGTTCGAAATTCAGTCACAAGCTTCCGAATAGCTCCCTAAGTAGGCATGATGCACTTGAATTTTGCACATGAATTTTGATAATTAAATTCAATAATTTGCAAGCGTTGTTCATTCATAAGTCGATTCATGGTTAAATTATAGACCAAACTGAACAAGTTTGACAATAACACAAGACACGATTCACGCTTGATCTGTCAAAAACAGTGTTGCCAAAAAGAGCTCTTCTTTACATATATTTTAGGGAATAAAATGTATTTAATATGCATACCTTATCTGCATTAACTTCCGAAAACAGAAAATTATTATCGTACGGCCTGAGCACTTCTCCTTGTTTCACAGCAGCTACCGAAGCTGGCCCGCATTTGTATTCCTCTTCGCTCAACTCCTGCGGAGTAGCGTCTATGGCTTGCCAACCTCCGTAGTGACTCCCGAGGTCAGGTCTGTCCATCCACACCTCGTTCCAGACGTGGAAGTTCCAGATGGAATCCGAGTTGAGTTCCTCCATGATGGCACCCGTTTCGTCCATGAAGTAGTCCACCGTCAGGGAGTTCTGCGTATCGTGCGCCGAGGAATAATTGGTGACTGTCCTGGAGGGGATTCCCAGAGCTCGGCATACTGAAGAAAATTATATATTTTATGAATTGTGAGCGATGTAGAGTTAATGAAATAACTTATGAATTAAAATATATCTCAATTGCCAACAGATTACGACGAGGCACGACAAGGCACACCAATTCACACTTGACCAAATAAAGCCAGCTTCCTCATTATTCTCTTCTCAGTCAATTCTCGATACTTCGCTGTTAAGAATGTAGGTTTCAGCACTAACAATATACATTTCTACTCATACTCACTCGTCGTAAGAACTCCAGAAAAAACCCAACACTGTCCGTACTTGACAGGCTTTCTCTTTTTGTAAAACTTTTGCAAAATTTCCTTGCTTCCCAACCATTTGGTAGGCGGCGTTCCACCACTATGGTCGGTCGACCAGTTTCCCATGATTGCCCCATAATCATCTGCTGCATTAACAGCTGCAGCAAGAGCCCTAAAAAAATACAAAAATACAAATAGCTCCAGTGGTCCTTAACCGCAGTTGTAGACGAAATCGCAGGCATAAAAACCTGCACGTCCAATAAACCCTCAAACTAGCTTACACACATTCCATCCAATTTCTTCAACAAAAATTATTTAACTATCCGACAGTTTTCAATAGACATTCATAAAAAAATTGTTAGCAAAATCTTGTATTCCGTGTTTTTGTTTTTGGACCATATTGTAAGTACCAAAATTCGTAATTCATCTAAAGAAGAATCGTGTAAAACATACCTCGAAGTTTTAACTGGATCCGACCTGTAATTGCTCTTGACCTTTCCAACTACGCTGACCAAGTACATGGAACAATCCAGAATATCTTTCTCGAACTGGTCGTATTTCCATATAACCGGCTTCAATCTATTATAAGTACCCCTCCAAATTAGACCAACGTCGTTCAACACGGATTCGTCTCTCCATTCTTCAGATTTCACGTAGACTTGATCTTGTTTACACCAAGGATTGAACAGGATGTATATGCCTACAAAAAACATTCAGAAGTCAGTGAAGGGGAGCTGTATGAGAAGCTATATGTCTACTATAATGGTTTCTCTTCAAATTTTTATTCTAGCACTAGTGGAGTCCCTCAAAGATCTAATCTTGGACCATTACTTTTTACTTTTCATGAATGATTTATTGAATACAGTATACTGCAATAGTAGTATTTTTTGCTCTATAAATGGTAAACTATTAGGCAATAAACGCTATCATCATTATTATTATTATTATAGCACTCATCTTCATCGATATCATCAACATGTAGTTAAAATCTGCTCCATGTCTATTAGTTTCAAATGATCTAAAATACCAAAATTAATTATCTAAAGAAAAAATTAGGCATGGGTTTAAAAGTTCGGACATATAATAAAAAGTGCTTAGGACTTTCACCTTCTTTCATAATTCTAAATGTTGTCATTATTGCCTATGGAATGTCAACAAGTTTTCAGATGATTCAGATTCATAAAATTCTTACATTTTCTAAACTTTGTCGTATGAATCAGAGGTCAGAAATGGTACTCCTTATCACTGAAATTCCTCAAAACCATATTTAATGTAAATACGAACTGCAATAATATTCATGAAAGTGAATGGTGTCTTTTGTTTTTACATACATGAGCCATTGGTCAAGAAATGAAATAAAAAATTATTTTTGATAATTTTCCTATAGATACAAGGAATTACAGGTTTTCATCAATACTGAAATATTGGAACTATGTGAAAATTGTAACCTACTGGCTTTCTGAAATTATTTGACCAAATAAAAATATTCAATATCAGTTAGTTCAACGGGGAGTCAGCATTTCAGATTATTACAATTTACTCAATCATCCTATTTCTCACCAGTTTCCCAAGAATAACTATAGGCACCGTCGTCAATGATTTTAGTGTCAACTTCTAAACGCCATTTTGCCACTATGGCGTCTGGAGGTACTGTCACTTGGACAGTGATAGAGGTGTCATTTGTTTTTTCCAGGGTAGCATTCCATGGCAGATATTTGTCCGTTTTGTTCAGCAGCGGTACTGCTACCATTGTGCCATTGCCGTGGGTGGGTTTTTCTTCATCTGAAATGAGAGAAACATCTTAGTGAAATGAAATTACTTGTGAATTCATTTTTCTACAAACTGAAATGCAAAAATTGATACTGTACTGTTTGCAATTGGGTTTGTATCTAGTTTTGTCCAATCGAAGTGTAATTATGCGCACAATTCCGCACCATAAACTAAATCGCACAATTCAAGAAAATATCAAAACAGCAATCATGTTTCTTAGCATGGAAACACCATCATTCATCAGCTGTTAACGATAGTAACTTTGTTCATTTTCAAGGTCACGAAGACTGAGACAAGGACATAAAACACTGTATAAATGCCTTTTTGGAAACATGTGCAGTTAATATTTTCTTGAAACTCAAGTATGAAATCAAAACAGAAACAAATACTACGATGTCCAAATTTTTTATACATTGTTAAATGGACTGTGTATAATTGGCAATGTCTTAATCATAGTCCTAAGGTATGACTTTGTGTATTTTGAAGGTCAAGAAGACTGAGACAAAGGCATGAAACATTGTATATGCTTTTTTCAAAATATGTGCAGTGAACTTGTTCCTGAAACTAAAATCAAGAATGAAACTGAAACAGAAACAAGGACTATGATGTCCAAATTTCTTGTACCTTGTTGAATGGACTGTGTATGATTGCTTAATCATAGTCCTAAGGTTTGACTTTGTGCTTTTCCAAGGTCATGAAGACTGGGACAAAGACATGAAACATTGTATAAATGCTTTTTTCAAAATATGTGCAGTGAACTTCTTCTTAAAATTAAAATCAAGAATGAAATTGAAACAGAAACAAAGACTATGATGTCCAAATTTCTTGTACCTTGTTGAATGGACTGTGTATGATTGACATTGTCTTAATCATAGTCTTAAGGTTTGACTTTGTGTTTTTCCAAGGTCATGAAGACTGAGACAAAGACATGAAACATTGTATAAAAATGAAATTAAAACAGAAACAAATACTATGATGTCCAAAATTTTTATAAATCGTACAATGGGCTGCGTATAATTGGCAATGTCTTAATCATAATCCTAAGGTATGACTTCGTATATTTTCAAGGTCAAGAAGACTGAGACAAAGATATGAAACATTGTATAAATGCTTTTTTCCAAATATGTGCAGTGAACTTGTTCCTGAAACTGAAATCAAGAATGAAACAGAAACAAGGACTATGATGTCCAAATTTCTTGTACCTTGTTGAATGGACTGTGTATGATTGACATTGTCTTAATCATAGTCCTAAGGTTTGACTTTGTGCTTTTCCAAGGTCATGAAGACATGGACAAAGACATGAAACATTGTATAAATGCTTTTTTCAAAATATGTGCAGTGAACTTGTTCCTGAAACTAAAATCAAGAATGAAACTGAAACAGAAACAAGGACTATGATGTCCAAATTTCTTGTACCTTGTTGAATGGACTGTGTATGATTGACATTGTCTTAATCATAGTCCTAAGGTTTGTCTTTGTGCTTTTCCAAGGTCATGAAGACTGAGACAAAGACATGAAACATTGTATAAATATGAAATTAAAACAGAAACAAATACTATGATGTCCAAATTTTTTATAAATTGTACAATGGACTGCGTATAATTGGCAATGTCCTAATCATAGTCTTAAGGTATTACTTTCTGTATTTTCAAGGTCAAGAAGACTGAGACAAAGACATGAAACATTGTATAAATGCTTTTTTCAAAATATGTGCAGTGAACTTGTTCCTGAAACTAAAATCAAGAATGTAACTGAAACAGAAACAAGGACTATGATGTTCAAATTTCTTATACCTTGGTAAATGGACTGCCTATGATTGACATAGTCCTAAGGTTTGACTTTGTGCATTTCCAAGGTCATGAAGACTGAGACGAAGACATAAAACATGGTATAAATGCTTTTTTCAGAAGCATGTGCAATGAACTTTTTTTTGAAACTCAAGAATAAAATTAAAACAGAAACAAAAACTATGATGTCCAAATTTTTTATACATTGTTCAATGAACTGCGTATAATTGGCAATGTCTTGATCACAGTCCTGGGGTTTAACTTTGTGCATCTTCAAGGTCACGAAGAGTGAGACAGGGACCTGAAACATTTTATCAATGCCTATTTCAGAAGCATGTGCAGTGAACTTTTTCTTGAAACTCAAGAATGGAATTGAAACAGAAACAAAGACTATGATGTCCAAATTTTTTTTTACATTTTTTAATGGACTGCTTATGATTGACATAGTCTTAATCATAGGCCTAAGAAACTAAAATTAAGAATGAAATTTAAAGAGAGACTATGATGTCCAAATTGTCAAAAAAAAATTTAATATATTGGTGTATACTGTGGGAAAAGTTAGAGAAAAACACTTGAAAGTGAAGTTATTTCTTATTTCAGTAAGATTTGTTACGAGAAATTGATATCCAGAAATAAACTTGTTTATTAACTCAATATATCCAACACAACAGTGTAGATAACAATAATTTAGGACGCCATAACTGTAGATACAGTATTATTTATTCGTATTATTAGTAACAATCAAAGTTAAACGAGTTTACTACTTTGAGAAACTTATGTGCTACTTATGAGAAAAAAATTCTTATAATTTTATACCATGCAATAATTGAGTATCAAAGTTGTTTTCCTTTTACCTTCTACAGTGAATATAAACGAAATCCCATCTTTTTCTTCGTTATAGGGGCGACTCAATTTGATGTCCAGTTGAAAGGTTTGACCTCTCCTGATTACTAATTGAGGCCGTAAATCTCGTTGCATTAGGTCATACCGCATAGTGTGATGAAAAGGTCCGTTTATAGCGATGCAGGGGTCAATCTCCCTGATTATTAAAATATCCGGTTCATCTACGGAGACACCTTCTGAGACATCTGAAACAGAAAATCGTTTTAGAATACGAAAAAGCGACGTAGAAGTCGAACTGGTGAAATATTTCTAGAGGCGAGACCTCTTTTCTGGGCTTCAAGTGCTGATGGACATTATCTTTGGCAATTTTCAAGTACATAATGTTACACAAAATAGACTATACAGCGTGACTCACTGTCGATGGTAAGTTAGACGTTTCTGGAAAACGCAAAGCATGATTTTTCTAAAAATTTCACCTCTCACATTTCCTTACCTGTTCTATCGACCTAAAATATTTTCAGCATTGCGGCGTTGCCATTTCTATCAAAAAGTCCTAGCAATTATATTTTTTTAAATGGAACACCCCGTATATTAATACATTTTTGGAATCGCTCTAGCATTTTGATACTTTTTTGATAGTAATGTCCTATACCTATGCATGTAGTGTTTTAAAAGAAAGGGTATACAGTACTCCAGTGCCTACCAAAGAAGAATTGCGACGCGAATAGTGCGGAGTATTGAAGATCTGGATCCCCAGGAAATTGAAAAAGCAACCACAAGCCGCGTACAAAAAAACATTTTAAAGTGTTTAGAATGTAATGGACAACATTTTTAGCATTTATTGTGAAAATGTGATATTTTGTTTACAATTTTGTTATTTTGAATCATATTATTCTGTTATTGTCTATACTTTCACATGTTTTCGCCCACATAATCTTACTGTATGATTTTGGTACATTTGTTCCCTGGAAACTTTGAGTCATAGTTAAGGAAATTATTTTGTAACCTTACAAACTTCCTAAAAAGTATTAAAATACCAGAGCAATTCCAAAAATGTATTAATATACGGGGTGTTCTATTTAAAAAAATAAAGTTGCTAGGACTTCCTGATGGAAGTGGCAACGCCGCAATGCTGAAACTATTTTAGATCGATAGAACAGGTGAGGAAATGTGAGAGGTGAAATTTTCAGAAAAATCATGCTTTGCGTTTTCCAGAAACGTCTAACCTACCAACGACCGTGAGTCACGCTGTATTCTCTAGCTAGAGCAGTTGTACTCTGTACAGATAAATGAAATACACGCAAACAGACTGACAAAATCGCAATATGGTTAGTGTACGCTCATCAAGAAAAATATCACAGTTCTAATGTGTAAGAGTTTTTGTTGGACATCAAGTTCGATTATGAAATCATATAAATATGATTTGGGAACCGAAACTGACCTAATGCATTTGTTGCAGACCAACATCTATGTCAAATTAGGAAAATTGCAAAGGCTCGAAGAGATTATGAGAAAATTCAGAAGCCTGAAAGTCTTCATCACTGGCTTAAGCCATGCGATCTACCTACATTCAAATAAACTGTTCCTAACGAGTCTCAAGCCATGACCTCACCGCGAACGATATAAGCCCGTTTTCCCGACCCAAGAGGGCAGTTCAGAAAGTGAATCGAGCGGCTAAACAAGAAATTCAAGTAATGGAAATAAATTATGCGTAGCTGCTAAGTGTAATAAATAAATCAGTTTGTGATTAGTGAAATATTGTTGGAAATAAATGTGTTTAAGACAGGTAATTTATTAATTTGCCACACTGAAATACGAGTAGATATATCCCAATACTATTTCAGCAAATGATGTAATATTTCACACTATTGATTATGTATTAATGAACCGACTCCCCCGCTGAAAATAATTCATCTGTTGGTAAAGGCGTGTGACAGATGAAATTTGCACTGCATAGTAAATGTTATTAGTCATTTTTCTCATGAAGTTCGCCTTGAATTTGCAATAAAGATCATGATTAGAATACGAAAATGCGCCACATGTGCTGTTTCTAAGAAACGGCCGTGATTTTTATTTCAAACAAATCTTTAGAAACACACAAACGCACTTAAGATATTGCCGAGTTTTTTCATATACACAAAGGAGTGGAGGGACTAATCTGTGACTGAATTTTCCCAATTCCGGATGAGGATACTTGAAATGTTTGCTGAATATTTCGAATTCTGGTGTCATTGACCGAAAATATAAACACTAAAATTGGTGTCCCATTTCTTGGTCGAACGTTTTAAAGTGACAAAAATGATTAGTGAGAATGTACATATGTATTTTATTCGTTTCGCAGTGTTTAATTTTCCATAAATAGTTCCAAAATATGACCAGCGTTCTACTCAACTTGAACATAAATAATTTCAGTCTAGTTTATAAATCTCGTCCCGTCAAATCACGTTTATGAATTATTTTTAGCAATATCAATAAACCAAAAGTGATTTACCAGAAGCCTTGATAAACTTCGAGAGTTGTTTTGGCAATATCGGTTATTTTTAATCTAGAATATACAATGGCTAACAAATTTTGGAACATTTGGTGGCAAGCCAACTTTAAATTCAATTTAGATATTTCACTATTGAAACGTTTGATTTATAACCCAAGAGACTGAAAAAATGTGTGTTGCGATCTATTTCAATGTATGTCGCGGTGTGCGTCAGGAAAGCAGTCATTCGACAGGCCTTTGCCACTTTGTACTTTATATAATATCAAGGAAAGAAATTTATTCCAAATGTTATAATCAATAATCTATGGTATCTCACAAATACTCAGAATTCCAGTTATATTAAGGTAATTCTTCCTATTTTCTTGGAATCCGAACATCTTCAACAATTCATTTTGAGCACATCACAAAATCCACTTCACCGAGTGACAACAAAATTATTGTCTTGGCGGTATTCAACTGTTTGTGGANTCGAAGTGGCTGTGTATATTTGCCGAGAATCATTTTGGTAACACATTTATGAAGTGGATCATATATTTTTCAAATGTTCCGCCAGAAATAATATCTCATTCGGGCCAAAATTTTCTTGGAAAACCTTTCCTTTGCCCTCCCCTCACTAACCTCTTTCTGGATATGTTTTTTCTCGATGATAATGAAGGTAATTTCTTTATTTAGTGCTCTTCATGTTTGTTTTGTTAGACAAGCAGTGATTGCAATCTACAAAATGTTAAATTGATTTTCCATGATTTATGTCTACCCAAAATATGTTTATTTTTCTCGTTAACGACTCTTACCTGCTTCTTTGGGTTTCGGGAGTGGCTGCAATCCAATATCATCGTTGGGGCTCCAACTAGCACGAAAACAACTACCGCAGGGACGGCAGCAAGGAAACTTGAATTTTCCCATTGAAATTAGTGAAAATTTTCGATAAAATAAATTAGTCCGTTAAACGCACGTAGTTCATTTCAGTTTCACTTTCTTTCGACTTGACCAGACTGCTTCTCGCGCGATTCAGGTGCTAGACCTTCGAAACTGTACATTCAGCTTCTTAATAACAATCCTAGCGATGTCTGGTTGTGGGTAACTTACGCGATGTAACGTAACCATAGGCGGAGGTACGAGTATCATTTCAATTACACTAGCCAATAAATAAGAAAAAAATGCGACTAATATTATAATGACTGCTATTTTAACATCAAAAGGAGATAATGATAATGATAATGATAATGATAATGATAATGATAATGATAATGATAATGATAATGATAATGATAATGATAATGATAATGATAATGATAATGATATTGATATTGATATTGATATTGATATTGATATTGATATTGTTATTGTTATTGATATTGATATTGATATTGGTATTGGTATTGGTATTGGTATTGATACTGATATCGATATCGATATCGATATCGATATCGATATCGATATCGATATGATGATAATGATAATGATTATGATTATGATGATTATGATGATTATGATTATGATTATGATTATGATGATGATTATGATTATGATGATGATGATGATGATGATGATGATGATGATGATGATGATGATGATGATGATGATGATGATGATGATTATGATTATGATTATGATTATGATTATGATTATGATTATGATGATGATGATGATGATGATGATGATGATGATGATGATGATGATGATTATGATTATGATTATGATGATGATGATGATGATGATGATGATGATGATGATGATGATGATGATGATGATGATGATGATGATGATGATGATGATGANCATGGGTATACGGTTATGACATCGAAACCAAAGTCCAACCGTTCCAATTGAAGGGCCCAGGAGAACCAAGACCAAAAAAGGCACGCCAAGTTCAATCAAGTGTCAAGATTTCGCTAACTGTTTTTTTCGATTACCGTGACGTAGTGCATCAGTTATTCTTGCAATAAGAAAAAACGTCTGGTATAGTGGAAAAACTATTTGTGACTTTTAAATCATGATAATGCACTTGTTCACTCGTTATTAGACGAAAACAACAACGTTAATATGCCTCAGCCACCATATCAACCAGATTTGCACCCCTTCCACTTTTTCCTGTTCCTAAGGTTGAAGAGACCATGAAAAGCGCATATCTGAACTGCTTCGAGTGTTGGAAAAAACATTATTCTTTTTAAACTGATCAATACTTCAATTATTGACCCACATTTAATTTCAATGTACCTAGTCCAACGTCTAGAGTGGATAATCGTTTTTACCTACCAACACAGCTTACAAATATTCTGAAACGTTCACCTCTGCATAACATGTGTGTCAAATGCAATTCAGCAAGTTGTCAGCTCGACATTTTTTACTGTTCCATCTTTGCGGTATGGTCTTTTTACTTCAGCTGATTCTGTATGTATTGTTTTCACCTAAGACCTTATTGTAATTGTATTGTAATTTGACTTATCTCTGTTCTGTTGTTTGTTGTAACCTGTAGAACAGTATATAAATGAATGAATAAATTTATATTCGAGAGGGACTTCTTTGACAGAGATTGATCAATAAATGAATATTTCTTGGGGACAATGAAAATGAACCATATTTTTTAACAGACATCCTATACAGAAAAAATGTTTACCAGATATAGGTTAATGAGTCCAGAGACTGCTGCTAGAGGAAAAGAGAACGTCAAAAACATTTGAAGTGAGATACCAACAGAAACAACAACTATAACACTTTCGACCTTAAGATTTTGAAAGTTGGTGAATTTCGTAACTATTCTCTAGAGTGCCGCCACTGACTCCAATTTTACTTTGTTATTGTATAACTAGATGGGAGTACAGAATGATTCATAGCTATTTTCATTGATAACATGTGGTAATTTTGTAGATTTTATGTTGACATAGATGTGGGCAGTGATTAATGCAAAGTAGATATGTACGTTTAAGGTTTTCCAGTTGCATCAACGATTTAAATACTGCTAATGAAATTCTTCACAATATAGATTAATCATTGCTTATTCAGAATTGTTCTCATAGCCAGATATCGCATTGGCAATACCCTAAAAATAAGATTAATTTTTTTCTACACCTAATTTGTACTTCTTCAATTTTGTTGGATGAGATAATAACGATCAGCATAGCATATTGAAAGATAAGACTCTCTCTCTCTCGCCTTTCCTTTCAAATACGATTCGATAACCCAAAAATACTTGCCTTCGGCAACGACGGAAATAATTGCTTCAAGATGATACAAAAAAGTTCGCTTTAGGTGCCTTTAAGTGAATCCCAGTGGAAAAAATTAACTCTGATCATAAAAGTTTACCATCGGACAAAATGTCGTTCTACGGCGTTTACACAATCAACAGAAGTTGGTTCAAAAATGGCGTTTTTCGTTCAGAAAAAGTTGAATTCACTGCATTTGCATGCAAATTTGTATTTGAAGGTTCTAACTGAAGTTTCATTCGATAGTTCAGGAAAGTTTAATATAACAGTTTCGTGCAGCAAATATTTTTTTAGTTTGGTCTAATAAAGCATTTTTTTGTGAAACTTCACTAATTTTTGAAGGTACTTCATCCAAATTGATTCTATATCGTCAAATTCAACTTTTCTATCTCCTGCCCACAGACAATAACGACTTTGGGGTTATTGAATACAATTTTATTCGAAGCCACTGAATGCAATTTTCTACCAAGCCACCGAATGAAAATTTTTGAAATAACAGAATAAAAAAACTGTGTTTGTAGCTACTGAATGCAATTCTGTGGGAAGCTACCTGTTATAACTCTTCGGAACCACCGAATGATGGTTTTGGGTTTGGAATCAATTAATGTTTGTGGAGCTACCGAATGCAGTTTCAAGGTAGAACTCACAAATGCAACTTTTCGAGAAAATCAAGTACAATTTGTGTGTCAATAGATGAAATTTTGTGTTTAAAATACCTTCGTGTTTAAAATACTGAATGAACTTTTTAGGATATCATTCGAATGCACTTTCTTGCGTCGCCATCGAATGCAAATTTCCGGAAGTACCTTCCGGAAGTTTTGCATAAAATTGCATTCGGTGAAAGCAATTTTATGCAAAACCAAGAAAGGTTACTTTTATCTTTTTCTAAACCACTAACACTTGTGTTCGGAGCAACTGAATGCATTTTCTGTATTAGAAAAAATGAACAGGATTTTTTGGAAAAACCAATACGAACCAATCTAACCAATCTATGAAATATTTGGGCAGTTTTCTGATGTCAGATTTGAATCTGCTTCGCTACAATTTAAAAAATATAACTTCTTTAGTAGTTGGGTGGGTTTCCTTACTTTCTCGATGGCAGTTGATACGCCATCGTACGAATAGTAGTAGAGATAAACTGAATTTTTCTATTTTATATTTCCTTGACTACGCAGAGACATCTACTGTTCAATACCTGAAGTTTTCGATTACGGTGTTCATACTTCATTTATATTTAAATGCTATCTTCTGGACAGTAGCCGAAGTGAAATCGAAACAAATGTTTTATTTTCTATTCTCACTTTTTCAATAACTAAGCAGCTTTCTCGTTCTTACAGTAACTAAATTTTGAATTCAGCCATAGTTTCCCAATGGTAATGCCTTTGTATATGTTAGTCTATATACAAAAATTCTACTTTTCAATGACTTTGCAGAGACATCTACTGTACAATAGCTAAAGTTTTAGATTACGATGTTCTTACTTTATGTATAGTGCAGAGTCATCTTCTGGACAGTAGCCGAAGTAAAATGTATACTAATTTTTTGTTTTCACTTTTTCTATAACTAAGCAGCTCCCTCGTTCGTACAGTAGCTGAAATTTACAATCGACTTTAGTTTTCCAAATGATAATGTATCTTTGGACGAATAGAAAAAGACACTTCGTTCATCTTATTCAACAATATATTTTCAAAAACAAAATATTGAATATGGAGATCAAACACAAAAGTTGCATGGGAAAATTATGAACTGAAAAGTTGCGTTTAGTGACTCCGAACTCATAAATTGCGCTCGTTGAATACGAATTCAAAAGTTGTATTCGATGGAAGTTGCCTACGATGATTCCTAACTCAATAGTTGTATTAGGTGGGTCCAAACATAAAAGCTGCATTCAATGGCTTCGAACACTAAAGTTGCATTCGTTGGTTACAATCTCAAAAGTTGCATACAGTTGCTTTGAACGCAGAAGTTTCATTAGGTGGCTCCAAACTCAAAAGTTGAATTCAAGGGCATCGAACATGAAAGTTGCTTTCGGTAGTTTCTAACACGAAAATTGCTTTTGGTAATTCCGAACACGAAGATTGCCTTTGTTGACTTCGAACACGAAAACTACATTCTGTGGTGCCGAACTCTGGAATTATATGCATTGGTTCTGAACACGAAAGTTGCATTCCGTGGCTCTGAACTCAAAGGATGCATTCGGTAAATGCAAACACGAGCATTGCATTCGTTGGTTATGAACTCAAAATTTGCATTTGATGACACCGAACACCGATCCGTACACGAAGATTGTTTACAGTGGCTTTGAACATGAAAGCAACATTCTGTGTTTCCGAACTCTGAAATAGCATACAGTGGTTCTAAAAAAAAGCTGCATTCAGTGGCTCCGAACTCAAAAGATGCATTCGGTGGTTCCGGACACAAAAGTTGCATTTCGTGGATCCAAAATAAAAAAATGCATTCGTTAAATGCGTCTTGAACGTTGCATTCGTTGGGTCTGAACTCAAAAAATGCATTCGGTGGTTCTGAACACGAAAGTTGCATTTCGTGGCTCCAAACTCAAAAAATACATTTGGTAAATGCGGACTCGAACGTTGCATTCGTTGGTTCTGAACTCAAAAGTTGCATTTGGTGGCTCTGAACTCAAAATTTGAATTTGGTGGCTCTGAACTTGATAGTTGTATTCGGCGGTTCCGAACTTAAACGTTGCATTTGGTGCCACCGAACACCAAAGTTGCTTAAGGAAGTTCCGAACACGAAGATTGTTTTCGGTGGCTTCGAACACGAAGACAACATCTGTGGTTCCGAACTCTGAAATTGCACACAGTGGTTCTGAACACGAAAACTGCATTCAGTGGCTCTGAACTCAAAAGATGCATTCGGTGGTTCTGGTCAAAAAAAGTTGCATTCGTAGGCTCTGAATTCAAGCATTCGTTAGTTCTGAAGTCAAAAGTTGTAAACGTGACACCGAACCCGAAAATGGCATTCAGTAGCTACGAATTCGAAAGCTGCATTCTGTGGTTCGAAACACAAATGTTTCATTCGGTCACACTAAAAAAAGTAGCATTCGGTGGTCCCCAGAAGTTACATTCAGAGAATTTGCACTAAGTGGCTCTTAACACATTATTTACTGGTTTTCAAGTAATTGAAACAAAATTTTATGAATAATTTGTATTAATGAAAAGTTGAAAGGATGTACAATATGGATGTGTGGCATTAGTATTGACGTATATATAGTTTGACACAAAATATTCTACTAATTTACTTCCTTATTCTAAGATAAAAGCTCATTATTGACAATCTTGAAAAGAATTAACATATCCTGAAAAAATAAATAGAAACCAATTCATTCCTCTATTTTGATTTTCGTACTTCCATGTACGTTGTGGATTTCTTTCGAAGTGAAGTTGAAAACGATTTTTCTTACTCCGCTTCCTTTCGCAGTGAAGGACTGAGACATGTTGATAACCTCCTTTGGCAAAACATCGCGATATTTGATAATTTTCGGTTTCCTGATTCCAGGTCCTTCTGCTGTATAAGAACATCCAGTCAATGGCACGTCAAGAGGATTGCGAAAACTGAAAAACACAGAAAAAGTTTTTGATCATCCGGGTTTTCCTCAGAATCTAAACGGGTCCCAAGCAGAAACAGCCATGCATGTATATGACGTTCAATAGTCTTACCTGAAGTTAACTTCACAGGTTTCCCCGATCTTCTGCAGCCCAGACACCGTAATCGTCACCTGGGGCATGATGAAAGTAAAATCATCCTCCTCGCTCCAGACCTGCTTCGTCTCCTCGACGTTAGCGATGGCGTACAGCTTAATAAAACTGTGATCCACCAGCTTCCCAACATACTCGTCGGGAGTGATCTCCAACCTCAGTGTCTCCTTCTTTCCAGGCTGGATCTTCACGGTTCCTTTCGATTTCTGCAAGTCTTTCGCGGTGGTCCCCGTATAATATACCGAGCTCGCCGACAGCACCGCTTTGATGGTTCTCTCTTCCTCGGACTTGTTCTCGACTTTCACCTCCACGCAGAAGGTTTCGCCGAAGGGGACGGTGTCGATGTCCACCAGGTCGAACGCGACGTCCTCGTTGCCTCTGTCGGGAATGTCGTAGAGTTCTTGGGCTCGGGGGACCCCGTGGACCGCGTTGTAAACGGCAAGGCGTTCCGCCTCTGTTCCTTCCGGGTTCTTGTAGAGTTTGGTTACGTCCAGTAGATCGCTGTCGCCGTCGTCGTCAGTGGGGCCCAATTTTTTCGTGACGATTTTACGACCAACACTGAAAAGATGTTAAATTTTTTAGTTCCTTCGTTTTTCATCACTGCAAAATTTGATTATAGTTTGCTGTAGTGAAATATATCTATAATGTCGAAGGGTGGTAGGTTGCTTAGTGGGTTTTGTTCATGAAATCACTGCAGGTTCAATCCCCGTTCGTTTCCGACTAGAAAATAGATATTTAGAATAATACATCTCTACCAACATTTCTAGGCAGTAGGATCCGGCATTTCATTGAAAATGAATTGTACAAATAAAACCGGATGATTAACTTACTGGTACTGATTTATGGTGGTTCTGCTGAAGCCCCAATCAGACTCCTCGTCCTCTTGAAAGTGCATAATATCCGCATTGACTTCAGAAAACACAAAAGGGGTGTCGTAAAGATATCCAACCTCCCCCTTCTTCACAGCAGCCACAGAAGCGGGCCCGCACCTCATAACTTTATCGCTTTGCTCTTGAGGAGTGGCGTCAATGATCTGCCAACCGCCGTAGCCGACAGGAAGATCCGGTCTCGTCATCCAAACGTCGTTCCACACGTGGAAGTTCCAGCATGAGTCGTTGCAGGTACCGTCAGGACCGCTTTCCAATTTCTCACCGAAAATGTCGAAATATCTGGAATTACAATCGCTACGTGAAATCCTTGTCACCTGTTACTAAACTTTGTGTACGCCTCTGGTGGAGATATACCCGCCATGGACTGTCATTTAGTGAATTTTGCTGTTGATTCATTTTTGCATCCTCAAAATATCATGCATTTATTCATATTTACCCAATCTAGTTGAAAGACAACACAATCTACTTTCAAACTTCCTCAAATATCAATGACCTACTATACTCCGTCACAAGATACGATGCCTACATTATAATTGATGAACAATTAAGGTTTCAGCTATAAATGCTTTCTAAAAGTGCATCAAATAAAATCCATAATAATAATTTGAGACCGAGGACAGTGACAGTGACAAGTGACAAATGACAGTGAAAGGTGACAAATGACAGTGACAAATGACACTGAAAGGTGACAAATGACAGTGACAAGTATGTTGTTGAAATTGAAGAAACATATTACTTGTTATAACTGTTCTGTTTATGGTGAATTCCCAAACGAATGCTCAAAAAAGATGATTAAATTCTTGAAAATACACTTTTCTGAGTTCTCAAGAGCACAAGAAACAGAAAAAGATACAAAAGGAATACCAAGAGGTTAATCAAACACTTAGAATGTCAAGGAGTAAAATAGAAAAGGAGTTGAGAAAACAAGAAAGGCGACAAATAGAGAAACAGGGGAAACAAGAAAAAAACAAAAAGGGAAATAAAGGAGACGAAATAAAAAAGAGCCGAAGGAACAAGAAATAAGACAAAAAAAGGAAGAATTAGTAAAGAGACTGAAAGAAACAGATGAGAAAGAAGTTCAAAAGAAGTTACAAATACATTGAAGAGACTAGAAATTGAAGAGTAGAACAAGAAAGGAGAAAGATCAAGGAAAGGGGCAACAGAAAATTAAGAGAAACAGTTGATTTTATGATTGAAAGAAATTAGTAGAAGGAAACAATACAGTATAAAATATATAAGACTCCAAATTTAGTTAAAAGCATAAAATGCAGACATTCAGCGTCCTAAGAAGAGAAATCGATAACAGATTGGACAAGAACAATGAATGAGTCATGGATGAACTTGAAGTGAATTCGAACGAATGGGTCAAGAAAATGATGAAACAAGAGATGAAGAGAAAATTGGACGGAGAGGTGGTTGAACTGAAAGATCAACTATAACGTATTCACACGGGCAACTAAACAAACCTGCTTCCGCAGATTTTCCTTGTTCTGACAAGAAAAATCTCATCAGCAGCAGGAAGACGGTACATGGTGTAAAGTTGTGATGCATTCTTTGGACCGTTTGGATGCACCAAACCGTTATTTTAACTCTTCGACAAGTGTTTCGATCACCAAGTGATCATCTTCAAGAGAAAGAATGAACTGTTTAATATTTATCATGAAATTGATCACTTGGTGATCGAAACACGTGTCAAAGTGTTAAAATAACGGTTTGGTGTTGGGAGAAAACTCCAACCGATATATGTCGAATGAATTGCAAAAGTTATGCAAAACACCAAGCTATTTGAACATTTCATCAGAGTGTATACTGGATTTACTTGAATAGTAAGAAAAACAGTTTTGGAAATTATAAAAAATACTAATGAAACACTGTATTCATTTCAATCACAAAACTAAAACCACTAACACAACAAGCAACATTGAACATAGCCTCATAGAACACAGACAAGTGGCATGGAATTGATTGAAATGTCAATACATAGAACGCAGACAAGTGGCATGGAATTGATTGAAATGTCAATACATAGAACGCAGACAAGTGGCATGGAATTGATTGAAATGTCAATACATATTTGACGTACATATGTAAACATGGCAATTCTACTTTAATATCAACAAATCAAGCGACATTCAAAAGATATTTTATGGACAATATACAAGAACTACAGGAAAATCCTTATATATTTTCACAATATTCAGTGGAATCTTAACTAGTGCCAACACTTACTTATCCACCGTGAGTGAACTGTTGGTGTCATGAGCAGACACGTAATTGGTTGTTGATCTGCAGGGGATACCCAACGCTCTGCAAACAGTGACAGTGGCTGCGGAGAAGACCCAGCACTGTCCGTACTTCACGGGAGTCCCCTCGGTCATCAAGTACTGTTCCAAAATGGCGGTAGAACCAGTCCAAGCGAACGGAGAAGTTCCATCAGCATAGTCGCCTTCCCATTTACCCTCCAAAAGACCACCATCGTCGACAGCATTTATCTGAAGTTATTATAATTATTCACAATCTGAACATCAGATTTAAGGGTAGTCTTATCCCACCTAGTTTTAAAACTGAATTTTTCAAGCGATGTTTCAGCTATAATATATGCCAAGTGATCAACCTCTTACCAAAAGAAATAAGAAAGCTAGAACTTTCTGTTTTACGGAAAAGATTCAAACTCCTTCTGTTTAAAAGCCAAGTTTAAGTATAAACTGCCTAACCCTATACATTTTTCATCATGAGACCAGAATAGGTCTCAGTTATGGACGTCTTCTTCAGCATCTTAATAGATATTTGAACATTCCTATTTTTTTTTCATGTATTACTGTTTTTTTGTTTTAGCTTATAGATAAAATCTTTTTGAGGTTGAGTGGAAGAACAACTCAGTAGCCCAAGTTTCAGGCACATTATACGAGTTTACTTATGAGTTTTTCAATTATCAGCTCTAGAACCATCTAAACACCAAGATGTTTGGCTTCATTAACAATATCTGGTGGTTCATTTTGAATGCAGATATTTGGTAGGAACGATGATATCTTGGACCAAAGATCATTATATTCGATTTACTGGGGTTCATAAATAAACAGTGGTCCGCTGCCAGTTCAACAAATCTATTTATATCTGCATTGACAATGTCACAAGCATCGTCTGTAAGTAAGCGAGAAGTATACATAGAGAACAATGAAGGGCCGAGTATGGATCCTTGAGGTGCCCCTGATTTGAGAAATGAGATATTCACAAATAACAACACACGATAAGTTCAGAAATAGATTGATAGCTTTGACATCACCGACGATTTATTTATTTTTTTGCCCATATAGCCTGAAGGGTTGGAATTCGTTACAATCTGCAATTAAGTCAGCGAAAAGAACGAAATTGCTGACGGACTGCAAATAGAGAGGATGCTGCTTAGGTGGCTGGGGAGCTATTAGCATTGCCTACCCAGAACACGAGGCTAATAACCAAAGTAGTCGACGCCGTTGACAGCAAAAGGAAACAGGTACGTATATTTTCAGTGCCTATTATCTTGAACAAGCTCAACATTGGGGACGAATTGAAAAAAATGATTTTATTGAAGAATACTAGATGGAACATGTTTCATTTTTATCTAGGTATTGGAAAACGCAACATAAACACAAAAACCCTACACTTACAATGGCGGAAATGGCTCTGGAAACCATGACAGGGTTTCCTCTTTTCGCTGGTACCAGCTCAGATTTATCCAGTAAAAAAACAGCTGCAGGTAGAGATATCTCGTCAAACTGTCCAAAAATCCAATGCTTTCCATTCGGTTTTTTGAAAGTCCCACACCAGATTTTCCCCGTTTCATTCATGATGTATTCCTGTCTTTCTTCTTCGTTTTCCATGTACACGCCATCTTCAGGGCACCAAGGATTGAAGAGGATGTAGATGTCATCAGGTATCTGAAATTGAAATAGGATGAGGTTGACGTTTACAGCTTTTTTCATGATATATTAGCTTCCCCGATTCGGTCTCGCAAGAGGAGCCTATATTTTTTTTGTTTTAGTTCTGTAACTGTATTTGATAATAATGACTTTCAAACTCAAATGAAAAAAGTAACACTGAAAACCTCGGCCGCGAAAGTCTTGACCATTTTGTCAATCCTGTCGATAATGAGGTGGACGAGGAAGATTCAACGAGACGATGAAGGAACGAAGAAAAGATAATAGATGTCAAATAGATAGAGGTATGCATATAAAATGTTTTAAAAACAGAAGATGGAGGTAGGTGAGAAAAAAAGAAAATGAGGAAGGAGAAACGAACTGACTAAAAGGCTACCAGAAAACATGAAGAGAGGGAAGGACCGAAAAATAAATCTGAAAGAGAAAGATTACAAAATTCAACGAATTTGCTTCCTTATATGTATATCTCGCCTATAAAGGTATATCGTCGTTCATAATATGTTGTTTACTGTCTTTTAATTAATTCCAATATCTAATTGTGGTTTTAATTGATGGGTTTATTCAAGTTATGGTAATGATAATAAAATATGGGAAATATTGTAATAGCTCGTAAAAAACAATATTCAGAATGAATGCTAAATTAATCTCGTAGGAAAAATACTGAAAATTTCATAATCGAAACATTTGAGAAAGATATTTTGTGCCATGTGTAAGCGTGAGCAAATTTAATAACAAGTAGTAAACATATTTGGGAGTGTTCTGGTTTTATTCAAATTTTTTGTACGTAGTTCGTAGACATACTTAGAAGCTACATTGAATCAATTTATTTCGAACTGTTTTCAAAGATAAATACTTTGATTTCAGAAACTACACAAGTGGAAAAGAGTATCGATAATTAGAAAAAGTAGAAACTATTCTTTATTTTGTACAATTTAATTTTTTTCAAATGGATATCATCAAACATTCTATAACAGAAGATTCACCGGTAGTGCTATTATTGAAATTAATTTGTTTTGGGAATTTGAGTTTATATACAGGGTCATCCCCAAAGTATGCACCATATGGGAAACTTAGATATATTTATTTGATCATGTTATGCATAAAATACATTTATGACAAGTCAGAAAAACAAATAGGTGTAGGGTACAAAGTTTTTTATGAAATAAAATAAACAGTAAACATTTATAACAAGTTTATAAGGTACATTATAACATATTCATATTAAGTGTGGAGGTTCGGCGAGCATCCTTGCGTCAAAAGTGTGTCTACGCACATGTTCTAAATATTCTGAAGTGGAATAAAAACAGTTTTTTTTTCAATATTTTTTATAACTTTTTTAAAACGTATTAATATTTTCAATATTGGCAGGAAGTGCATTATGCAATTTAAAATCATAGGAGTTTGTTGTGATTTCATCAGCCTGAAACATTGAGGTCCAACAAGAATTCTCAGAGCGTTTATCTGTATTATAAAAAAGATTGAGCATTTCGTGAAATTTGTTATTGGCTTCAGCTATTTAAGTAAAAATAAGGCACTCGATGGCTTATTTTTCAAACTTGAAATGTGGCTTGACCAATTCAGCCTATTGCCCAGAGTATAATTCAATAATTTCACACTCTGGAATTCAGGTAATGGCAGAGCCATAGAAACAATCATGTTTTGTGATTTTTCCTTATTCATCATGAGTTTATTGATACTGAACCAGTGCTCCGCTAGAAGAGTATATCAAGGATGTATCGTCAGCAAATAGAACACTGTGACAAGGCTTCTTATAGTTGAAAAAATCATTGATGTAAATAACGAACAAAGGCAAAGAGTTATTTTTGATGAAAGTTTGTGCATTCCCTAAAACTAAATATGCACCAACAAAATACAGTAAAGCCTATATTTGATTTTGAGACCCGTAAAGTACCCTTATTTTGAAAAATCTTGGTAAATGTTATTTAGAAAAGTTATTCAGCTTTAAAAAATACATCTTGATTTGAAGTCATGGACATCTAAGTGAAGTTTTATTTTTTACCCATCTTTTTTAAAATGGGGACTACGCCAAAACAATAAATAGACACCATCCTGTATACAACTGTATACTGTAGACTGTAATATAACGAATTACACAACTATAGCGGTCAATTTTTTTGAAGAGTAAAATAATTTTCAAAGTACGAATAGTACTCAAAATTATACAGTATTGTAACGAGAGCTTAATATTCAATAATATCAAATCCAAAACATCAAAATAAAAAAGGAATTTTGGAACAAACTCATTGATTTTCTGGAGATTAGGTTCCTGTTACAATACTGTATAATTTTGAGTACCTACTTTTCGGTGTTAACAAAAAATAAAAATAACTTTGCACCAAAAACTTTGAAAAGTATTTCTCTCTTCAAAAAAATTGACCGTGGTTAACACCATAGTTGTGCAATTTGTAATATTACAGGCTTTCAAAATAAAACGTCGTATACAGAATGCTGTCTATTTATCGTTTTAGCAAATTTTTGTTTGTAGTTCTTATTAAAAAAAATGGGTAAAAAATAAAACACGAGAACTAATAGAAAATTAGTGGAGATACTGTCTTTTTCCAGAATGTCAATCACCGATAAACCTAAATATCAAAGTGCCGTATAAGTATTCTTGACGATATTCTTTGATAAACTTTGCACCCTGTTATGTTAACAATTTCCAGCCAAAATGTCAATTCGGTATATCTCTGAAAGTACTCGTGTTCGCACACGTTATCTACAAATTTCTGGTCAAAATTCTTGCCTGGTAAAAACACTAGATACTTGTTTGCACAACCAATCTTCGAATGGAAATTACTTCTAATCAACCGGATATCTTGGAGAGTGTCGCTAGATGCCTGAATTGAAACGCAATTATCCAACACTATATACGTGGTGACAATTCACGAATATAATCAACCACATTAACAATAAGTAATAAATAACCATCCAATTATCATACAAATTAAAATATTGTCGATGCGTCATCAACTAGGCATTCAAAATCAAGTAACAAAGTAATATAAATTGAACAACGTGGCTACTACTAAGAACAACCTAACCTTCTACAGAAGAATTACTTTTACTAGTGAATTTCGCTAAAAGTAACTCTATGTTACGAGTGGAGGTCAACTTCATAAAATTCTCCAGTACCTACCTACCGTAGAATGTATAGAAACACCATAAAACTAGCTAAAACTCTTTATTATACTAACAGAATAAATAAAGCAAGCAATAAGTAAAGAGAAACATGGAAGATAACTATTGATCTCAGGGGAAAAGGTAGAAAGCAAAAATTGGACACTCCATTATCATCCTCCGATTTCAATAACTATTTTTGCATGATAGGAGAAAAATTAACTGGAAATATTCACATTCCGTATGATCCACTTGATAATTTAACTGATATTGATATAGCAGATAATTTTATTCTATATGACACAGACCTCTCAGAATTGAAACTAGTATTTAGGGAGATAAAAAATAAACACACTTCAGGAATTGACGATATCTTTTTGAATATTTTCGAAAATCTACCAGACTCTATCAGTACTAGTTGACATAAGAAATATCTCATATAAAGAAGGAGTTTTTCCAAATTTTCTCAAAACATCTATTGTTATTACTCTCCATAAAGGTGGAGATATTGGCATCTCTTCTAACCTCCGACCTATCTCTTTAATAACAACACTTCAAAGATTATGGAAAAACTAGTCAAGAGAAGACTAGTTGATTTTCTCGAGAGAAATCAGATATTAAACAAGTATTAGTTTGTATTCCAGAGTAGAAAAAACACTCATGACGCCATTTTTTCATTATTGTACAGTCTATATAACAAATAAAGTGATGGAGAAATTGCAACTGCTGTATTCTGTGACATATCGAAAGCGTTTGACTGTGTTAGTCATGAGACACTGCTTCGGAAATTACAACAGTATGGTAAAAGAGGTGTAAGTCTCAATTAGTTTGAATCTTATTTATCTGAGCGACTAATTATTCTGAGGAAGGAAAAATAAACTGTGGAGTTCCACAAGGCTCAGTCCTAGGTCCACTATTATTTCTTTAGTACATAAATGATCTGACATCTACTGATATTAAAGCAGAGTTCACACTACTCGCTGACGACACTACAATTTTATGACATGATCAAATTCCCTCTGAACTTGAAACAGTAATAAATCATGATATTAGCAATATAAAAAGATGGTGTGACGCAAATCTCTAAAACGAACGTACAAATGTTCCATCAGCAATTTACAAATTGACAACATTTTTGTTGAGAATAAACCATCAACCAAATTTCTGGGACTATCCATTGACACTGATTTGAAATTTGAAGATCATATCAAGAGTCTCAAATCAAAGTTATCCTCAGGGTCTTATGCCGTGAGGCTGACATCTTATGTCAGAAGATTTTTTAAAGAAAAAGGTTGAAATGATAAGTTTAAAATGCGTTGTTTTAGAGCTCTTTTATGAAAACTACTTGATTTTCTGCCCAAGAGTACTCACGGTGAAATCTTTACGGATCCCTCGTTGTCCAGAAATGGCCGTCGCAATGGAGATTTTCCAGATGCCGACAGGTACGTGTGGAGGAATGCGAATGTTCAGAACTATGGAGGTGCCGCTGTTCTGAGTTAACATGACGCCCCATATCTGGGAGCTTTTCGGGAAATGCTTGAGTTTCGGTAGTACCGGACGAACGGCTTTGGTACCGGAAACTGGATTCGGTTTCTCGCCTGGAAGTTGGTCAGTTCATTCAGGTTGATTTAATAATATAATGATAGTAGGTATAATATTGTAAGTCATCCCCTAAAAAAATAACAACGGCCGCCGCTGGTCGTCGTAAATCAATTGTGAATAATCCTACCGGCTTCAATAGCCTTCTTGCGAATTTCCTATCGGCTTCGATTTACATCGATTACCGCATATCCATACCCCGAAGTCAAGTCAAGTGACAGTGCGGTGCAGTGTGAATTTAAATAAGGCTATAGATATTTGAATATCATTTTGAAGTTTCAGTTAAACAGTTTGATTATATTAACAGTGGAATAAAGTTAAGTTTGATTATTTTACAGTGTAGTCAATTATTGTCGAACCCACGGGAAAAACATAACAATAATAATAAATATGCTTTGGGTTGGTGGAAAATTATCTTCCTGTTCCAGTCCCATATATATGCCTTTCTGGATACACTTCATTCATTTTTGAATGGCTTTTGTTAACAGAAGTCTACTAATACAGCAATGTTTCCATCAATAAATCAAATAATCACACATATTGATGCAGGTGACTGTTCGGCAGGACTCTTGTGAGATTTGAATATGAAAAACTGGCTTCAAAATTGGAAAATTTTGGTATGAGTTGTATAAATTCATATCTCCAGATCCAAGATCAATTTGTGTCATTGCAATTGATGTAAAATAATAGTACCTTCAAATTTAACTCTATACGTAAAAACTAACGGTGGGGGTACCACAGGGCTCCTTATTGGAACCTATTTTGTTTATTCTGTATGTAAACAGCATTGACTCTCAATTTCCTGAAGTTTCATTTCAATGATTTAAGATCGATATTGATTAGAGCTCAGTTACCTATTTAGTATGCTCTTGCAGACTCCAGAATTAGGTACGGTGTTTGTTTCTGTGGGGGGTCAACTTCAATACAAAATGAATTTGTTCCAGGAAAGCGCTTTGTATGATGCATGGCAAATATTTCCCAAAGACATGCTTGTAGATAGTGTTTAAAAAAATATAATATTTCAACTCTTGCATCAGTCTATATGTATTTGAAATGTGTGTATACTTGTTTAAAAATAAGTCAAATTTTACATTGAATAAGAGTATTTAGCACCATAATACGAGAATCAAAAGCCAGTTACATGTGTAAATAGAGAAATAAAAAGTGACTAAAATTCAAGACAAGAATACGTAGGTCCAAAAATTAACAATAATCTTCCTGAATATGTGAAGGCTTCAAAGCAACTGTATAATTTTAAACAAACACTGGAAGCATATCTGTTATAAAATGTTTATTATACACTAACAGAGTTTTCAAATAATCATTCGGTCTGTTCTTCTTTTACTATCTTCTATTTAATTTTTATAATTTACTTTTATCCTTAATTTTTTGTGTTGTCAGTTTCCCGAAAAACTTTATATTGTCTTCATGGGAATAAAGTATCATTATTATATATTAGTCACGATTGGAGAGTGTAGCGCCTAACGTTTCGTCTGTCACTGCGACAGACATCATCAGTGGTATGAATGATGTCATTGATTTCAAGTGGTGAATAATTGTCACATTTATTGTTTTGGAAATAAGACCGTTTATTTATATAACCTGCCACAAACATTACGTAACGTAGTTAATTGAATCATCTACCTATCTATTTATCTGCCTAAACAGCTAACCTCGAAATCAAAATCGATAGGTTTCGCTTACCAAATCCAAAGCTGATTCTGATGATATCTTTCTCGGTGTCATAGTCTCGATTGAACCTCAACGCTAAGAAAAATTCAGCTCCTCTTCGCAAGATGCAGGTCGGTGTTTCGGCTTTCACCAGATCGTACTCATCAGTATGGTGTTGTTTTGCGTTTTCTCTGATATATAACTCGGTACCAGTTATTGTTAGAGGTTCCATACTTCACCTATAGGAGAAATGATAACATATTTATTTTCGACAAGTGCAATTTCCCCCAGCAAATTCATACAAATGGCACAGTCGTCGGTGCTCGAATCTACCGCCAATGAACCTCAAGAAATTTATACCAAATCAGAGTGTAGTACCTAACGTTTCGTCTGTCACTGCGACAGACATCATCAGTGGTATACAGGGTGTGTCTTGAATGATGTCATTGATTTCAAGTGGTGAATAATTGTCACATTTATTGTTTTGGAAATAAGACTGTTTATTTATATAACCTGCCACAAACATTACGTAACGTAGTTAATTAAATCATCTACCTATCTATTTATCTGCCTAAAAAGCCAACCTCGAAATCAAAATAGATAGGTTCCGCTTACCAAATCCAAAGCTGATTCTGATGATATCTTTCTCGATGTCATAGTCTCGATTGAACCTCAACGCTAAGAAAAATTCTGCTCCTCTTCGCAAGATGCAGGTCGGTGTTTCGGCTTTCACCAGATCGTATTCATCAGTATGGTGTTGTTTTGCGTTGTCTCTGATATATAACTCGGTACCAGTTATTGTTAGAGGTTCCATACTTCACCTATAGGAGAAATGATAACATATTTATTTTCGACAAGTGCAATTTCCCCCAGCAAATTCATACAAATGGCACAGTCGTCGGTGCAAATACGATTATTATTCACGCACACAAAGCTTACTTCCCGTCCTGATCCAAGCTTCATCTTGCCCCGGTCTCCCCTACTCTCACTGCGAATTATGCAATATTTTCCGAACTCTTATAATTCAAGTTTTCTTTTGATGTTTTCAATGGTTTGATGAAAATATACTATTGGCTATTAATATAACCACTATCTCATACAGTTGTCTACTTAAAAATATCGAATGCATTTGAGTTATAAAAATAAACATGATAACACTGAATTTATGGTTCATAAGCTTGTAAAGTCAGCTAGAATGCTTCAAGTAGACGAACCGAAATAGCGATACGATTTATTTCGAATTTCCTGAAATTCCTTGCAGAAATTTCTCGTATATGATTAAATACACACATCGGAAAAGTCTAGGGATATTTTTATAACATACTAAATATCACCAACACCTTCAATTTAGACGACAAATGTTGAACCGATGATTCAAGATCTACAACATCGATCCGATCTTGACTTGCATACTGCATCCACATCTTTGAATGGTGGAACTGGAATCGAATAAAAAAAAACAATAAGCAACCTNGACACCTTGGTCGTAATTTTTGGACAGGGCTGAAAAATGTCACCAAAAAGAGCTAAATCGAGTACATGTGAACCAGACTATTAGAATAATATATTTGTATGAAACAAAGGATATTACTAGTTGGGAGTAGACATATTTTTAAGAAATATCAGATTGGTCCCAATGTCATTGTGGACGGTACTTGGAGTCATACTTGCGCTCATGAATTACTCACCTCGGCATGACAAATTGGGTGAATAAGAAGTAATTTTCTTTCTTCATCTATGATTCTCGGTCATCATTTTAATTTGGTTGTGCAATTATCAAACCACATCCTGCGATTCATCAAAATACCTTTTTTGGAATTGTAAACTAATACCTACTTCTAGAAATAGAAACTTGAATAAGCAATCAGACAACTCGAATGATGGACCAATAGCACAGATAATAGTATAAATAGAAATTTGATTGTTGGTTGAATGCTATGGGTCAGAATCATCTCAAATAAAAATATGTCGAGACATTTTAAGAATCAAATTGTTGGAAAGTTCCACAAGGATCTATCAGTGGGCCCTCGATTTTCAGCTTGTATATCTGTGATTTTTTTTCTGTTTTTGAGAAAATGCCATATCCACCACTATGCAGGCGATACGCAGTTATATGTCCTTTTTTCGCCTCGTGATTTTATATCTACTCAGTCATATATTGATAACAATCTCTAAGCCATCTTTGAGCTCAAGCTCAATTCTAATGATTCTGCAATAATGATGTTTGTACTTCAACTGGAAGGCAGGCCAAAAACCGTATGGACAGTTCTAAAAAGAAACCTCCTATACCCATATTACATACAGAGGGTCCAAGTTCTACTGCCTCGGGTTTTTTACCAAAGATTAATGTTTTGCAGGTGGTTGATCGAAAAAGATGACGGTAGATAAGTTTAAAAATAATCTGAAAATAATTTTATTGATGAAACAGATCATTCCTCGGAGCTGAACTCCGCCTATTATGTCAATAATTATTTAATTATGCTGGAAAAAAGTATTCATTACGTAAAATGGAAAATAAAGTCACTATTATATCATTATTATTATTCAGTGTGCTTTTTCAATACGTTTTGATGAATTTTTCTAAAGTATCGGTTTTGAAAAGAATATTTTTTCAACTTCCGTAATTTTTCCGTCATTTACAAATTAGACAAAACGAAACCTTATACAATTTTTTATGAAGAGCTAGGTAATACGTACTACATTGAGAAACTTTAGATTTTTCGAGATAAAAAATATTACGTCAAAAAAAATTTGAAAACATAGGAATGTCTCTTTACGTGATTAATTTAGTGATATATTCAAATACGTTGATATGAAAAACGAAATAACATCTAAAAAATATGGGTAACACAGTACTTAATTAGTTTTTTCGGAAATTCATTTTTAGAAAAGGTATACTTACCTATACGACACTGACTACTCACAAATAAACAACTTTACGCAAGACTTTTGCCCCCAGGGAAGAGATAACTGGTTAGAAGTCAATATTTATAAACAAACTTTCAACTGCTACTGAACTTATAGCACTGCTTGTATCTGCTTATATCATACATTCGCAGAGAATCCGGCGAAATTTATTATAGCCTCGCGGTGGTTGCCTTGATCGGTTCCAAAAACTCGAGGAAAATAGGAACAATGACTAAGGAGGAAAGTGCAGCTCTTCGAAGAAATGTGTCGCTGAAAAGAGATTGAGACTATGTAGGGCAAGGCTGAGACGTGATTCGAATAATTTCAGCGGGGTCGACTTGAAGAAGATAAGCCTTCTCATTATTCGAGAAGAAAACGCGATAAATCTAATTTGTGGTTTGGTCCGGAAAGAGATAGCTGATAATTTCCCGATTTGGGCCAGAGATTGATGTGTGCTTGTTGTTAATAGGAATCAACAGTGGCAACTGGATATGACTGATTTTGGATTTCACTGAAACAATCATTGGAAGACCGTATTAACGGTGTCTGTTAAAAAAATAAGGTGAATTTTCATCTTTCTCAAAAAATATTTATTTATTTAGCAATTTCAATATAACCCCTTTCAATGTAGTCTCCCCCAGCGTTGTTTCCAATTGTCAAAGCAGTTCAGATATGCACTTTTTGGTATGTCCTTGAGCTCTCTTTCCGCGATTCATTTTTTATCTCCTCAATCGTCGCAAAACGTCGTCCTTTCACGGGTGTTTTCAATCTTGGGAACAGGAATAATTCGCAGGGGGGCAAATCTGGTAAATACAGTGGCTGAGGCATGATTACAGTGTTGTTTTTGGCCAAAAAATTACGATCGAGGTGCATTATTGTGATGCAAAAGCCATTAATTGTTTTTCCACAGTACCGTACGTTTTCAATATCAAATTGTATAAAAAGGATTTGAAGCTTTATATCTTCTATTAATTATCTGCGAGCGCTTTCGACAGTTGGTAGTACTGTCATCTTCTAGGCTATCCTCAAACTGAGCTTGTCAGCCTGTCGTCTGCCTCTTTTTACGTTCAGAGCGTTTTAACTCAGGTATTTCAGGTACTTCAGGTAAATTTACCTGTATTTGTACTGGATCAGGTACTCTTCTTTGTGTTAGATCGTCTCTAGGAATATGTATGCTTTTGTTTAATATACTGAATGTGAGGTCTTGTTGTGTTTTGATTTGTACCTTTTGATTTTATACTTCTGAAACATTTTCAGTATGAACATTCAACATGTTTTTCTCCCTCTTCCCTTTCCTTCCTTTTTTTTTTCTCTTTCTTTTTGTACTTTTCTGTAGTTTAGTTTTCTTTTCTTCAAGGCTAAAACTAAGATCAACAGTATGCTTTCGGTACATGTTGACATCAAATTCTAGGCCCTGGTTACTTCTGTTTGAAAAAAAATCTGTTTAAAATTTGTTTTCCGTTAACCAGCTGTCGCACCCCTACCTCAGAAGTTGAACCTTGTGCGAGCTAAGGATTAACGAGGTCATACCTTTTAATTTCCTTTCAAGCAGATTTCTGTTAAATCTATATAGTCTTGGATTAAAAATATGTGACTCAAGAGGAAACTGTATGTGTACAATTTATAAACCCGGAAATATTTTTAAAAAATCTGTTTAAAATCTGTTTTTCTGTAAACCAGCGACAGCTGGTTAACGGACTAACGAGGTCTTACTTTTGAACATGTGATTACTAGCACGGGTTGGACGATAGGAAGTAAAAATCGATCATCCGGCCTCGCGGCTTGAACCACCGGCCCACAACAACGGTCGACTTAGTGAGTGGAGCAAACTACCCACGTCAACCCAACCGGCTATCGTCCCACTATCCATTGAAAACTTTGCCTAATTCCGTTGAGATGTAGCAAAACAATTCTTTATATTGTTTTTCTTTTATAGGTTAGCAGAAAAGACCGCACTAGCATATCTATCTTTCAAGGAGAGCTCATTTCTGAAAACATTCACATATAAGGTGGGAGTTGGAAAGTTATTTAGATGGTTACGATATTAAACCTTATGATTGTGATTGGATTTTACACCATACAACTCAAATTGATATTCTAAGACATACTTAGAGACATACTTTAAGAATTATTTTATTGTCATTAACACATTCTGAAACAAATGTTTCAAGTACTATCAATGAACTTATGGTGCTCTTTTTGGGACCTTTGGAACCATCAATGAAAACGTGAACATTTTCCAGAATAAATCTGTTTTCTTTTTGATAAATCAGATCCCCAATAATTAATTTTCATAGCGATAAGAGGAATAAAACTAATTCAATATCCTCGAATGAACAAAAATATAATGTTTTCACTCATTTGTTCTCGATAAGTGATCATTTGAATTAATGAAAACTGTAATCAGTAACACATAATTTCGTAATATGATATGACCCGTTGAACAAAACAAAAAAACTGATATAGTGTTCGCGTATCACGAATGTGTGCAGTTATGAATTATTAATGTTGTCTCATAATCACGCCTTGAAATGGGACGCCCAACAAAAGTAGGTGTATGTGATTCTTTTTTTAAATACATGGTCAAATAACATCAGGTTATCATTTCTAGAGAAACTAGGAAGCTAATTAGGTTTTGACATTACAGACTTCTAAAGGCTTGTGACAAAAATTATATCGGCCAGACTAAGTAAGCTATTAAAGCTCGTTTCAAGGAACATGTAGCACGTATCCGATTTCGGAGACCAGAAAAATCCAGTGTTGCTCAACAGGCATTAGAAAACAGTCGTAGAGTAGATGAGAACTGTCTCAAATTGTTGAAAACGGTATATGGCATTAGATTTTATATGAATCGATCTGTCAAAAACTAACGGGAACTTTCATGATAACATTCCTCGCGAGTTTTTACCCAAATACTTTGATGTTAGATATAAACATAGACCAGCGGCGGCTCGTCAGAGGAGGCAAGGGAGGCTTAGCCTTCCCATAAAATTTGAGGCTATCCATCGCAATAAATTAAAAGATATTGACAAATACTTATGATTATTTTTTTAAATGCTTGGGTATCATTACTTTACCATTAATTTTTAATATAATTACATAATATGCCCGAAAAAACACTATCACTCACTACGTAGTACGTACCCGTACGTACCCGAAATGATAAATGCCATACGTTGCAAGGAAGCCAAGCCTCCGACCGCTTTAAAAAACACAAGCTTCGCGAGACCGATCCAAACAGAGACATACGTCCCGATTTGTAATTTCAGTTGCAGAAATTATAACTTTAGAGGAGGCTAGCCTCCAGTTGGTCTTCGTGTACAACTGCGTTTGTTTTTTATTCAATTATTCGGACGGCAGTATAAAACAGGCAGTATTGCAGTGCTTATAGCAGTGCTTTTTGGTAATATTTTTAATGTGTTTTCAAATTGTTTTCTTTCAATTTCAAGGTGTTTCTAGGTTTTCACTTTTCGGTAAGTTTTTTTTCCATTTATTATGGATAAGTTGGACGAAATTAAAAAATCTGACGATATAGTCGATTGGTTGCTGACAAATAATTTTAAGTCTTCATCTTATGATAATAAATTTTACATTATTAAAACTCTGGGAAGGCTCCACCAAATTTGATTTCAATTAAAACGTCAGATAATCGACAAAATCGAGGATTTAATATTATTTGGTACGATAAATGCAATTGATTACCCGGCTCCATTAAACGAGAAAAACTTTTTTGTTGGCCCTGTGTTTTATTTTCCGTACAAACCGAATACCAAACGTGGTCTAAAATAGGATACTCCGATTTAAAAAATTCAGCTTGTTCAACAGAATGACATTTTAAATCTAAGGAGCATATATTTTCGTCTTTTAAATTAAAATTGTTCAGCAAACAAAATATAGCAACAGCTTTAGATACAACTCAGAAAGAGGCCATAATTTCTTTTAATATAATATGAAAAAGCTGCGCTCTCCCTTATTTACAAAGTTACGGCCCTTCAAACTTCAGAAAAGGGCAACTTTTCAGACTTCTTTTTCACAAGATAGACTATTTAAAAACACAAGCATTTATTCACTAGGTCAGTTACACCTTATTCCTCCTTCCTTGGCACGTTTCACTTCAACAATCAACATTTTTCCAATAAAAATGTTGAAAAATGTACGGGACTTACGTTTTTAAGGTTGACATAGTTGGTACGACTGATGCTGTCAATATTCCTAAAATAATTCAAATGTTTTTTCATTATCCTTGGAAATCCAGGATGAACCAGAGGCCACTGAAGATCTCCTTCAAGAAATTCAGAACCGCCATAACAATCTGAACGAAAGAGTCATCTCGCTGAAAGCCATCACAGACACCATCAAGAGTAAAATATCGTTGGAGAAAACACTTTGGCTCCAAGAACTCAACGAAACGGTGAAACTGGAGAAGCAACTGAAAGAAAGGCGAGAGTCCTTGCATAGCCTGACAGCCTTGAAAGAAGACGAGTACAAGAGGAAACTGGAGGTGTTCAAGGACTTCTTGTTCTTCAGCCAAACCAGCGACAATCTCAAAAAAATTCTTAGAGAGAACGGTTACAAGCAGTGGCTCAATGATATTAGTGACGATTGCAGTTCGGAGCTGGACAAGATAAGCCAGAGTCTGACCGCTTTGAAGCCTCTGAAAAAGATAGTGTCTCAGTGGAATGTTCAAAGCGAGGCAGACAGCGGTATATCGGAAAACAGAGGAGATGACAGTGAAAATGTTGGCACTGTTGACCATTTTTATGGATTTACTTCGTCGTAATATACTGAAATGAATCAAAATGCTGGCATGTCTCTTATTTGATGATTAAAATAGGTACCTAATGAAGATGATTGAGGATCTCCTAAGCGATCTAGCTGCTTTGCAGTGAAAGACGGACGAGTCTCTTTCGACAGTCGACTTCGATACTCGGTTTTACAGCTGATCGCCTCGGGCTGCCTCGTTCATCTTTGATATTCGAGGATTCAGTCTTTTGTTGATCCCATAGATGGCGTTTTCGCTAGGGGAGATGTCATCGCGTCTACAAACGTATGCTTGAATGGTGAATTTGGGTTGTTTTTGAAGTGGTCCATGTTGGATTTAACTATAGAGGATAACGTGAAACAATGGTGAATAGTTAGAGGCACCCCATGTAGCAACAGGGAACAGGGGTTTGTTCCAGGGCACAATTTTCTAGTATCGGTATAATAGTAGCAGAACAAATTCTGAAGGACCAGATGATATTAACATATAAATTACGTACATGGTCTTCCAACAGGGACTTTCGCACCTTGACAGTTGATGACGGCCATCTTGTTGAAGCTATATCTGTCAAATTAGTGGGATATTCCACTGAATCAACTGCAGAAACAGTTTATGTCTAGCTGGAATTATATAGCGGTCACCTCCAGGGAGGAGTGTCCGCTGAGGAGCTAAAATGTATCATCGCCATAAGAAGCCCTGGATTATCTAAAATAAATAAATCATGTGGTTAGTACATAGTCCTTCAAGAACCGCCCCTCCTTGTCGAGGCGTCTTGCATGCGCCTTTGGGTAATAGTACGTTAAATTTCGCAAATATTGTCTGGTTCCCAAAGTAGAATATGTTTAAAAGCAATTCAAAATAAGAATCCCGGGCTATTATTACAAGTTGCAACTTTTAACGTACTGATAAATAAAACATTAAAAATTTCAATATCCGTATATGTGCACAGCGTGCTTAAGTGAAAATAAGTATATTTTGTAGAGATTATGTAATAGTCCAAACCTGTGCGAGGTTACGAAATAAATGAAAAATGTTAACCAGTTGAGAATGCAATAAAACATCATTACGCGACGTAGCATCATAAAAATATTGGGTAGAGCAGAAATGGCCCTGGGTTACAAAAAAATACATAAAAATAGTCAGTAAGATGTCAATATTAGTCCAGGCAGAACTGTATTCATATTTTAGTGAATCGTTGCTTATTTAAGGGATTCGACAATGTCTCTGGGAAATCATCGACTTCATGTTGATGTAGGACACTACCTTGCACTGACGAGGGGCCATATAGCCCGAAACCGTTCTGCGAATGTGCCCGGTCCAATAATTGATTCCGGTAGTTGTATTGCCAAAAGCATATGCAGGAATTTCTTCTGTGAAGAATCCTGCACTGACACCTGTCGGATATAATCCAAAGCCTTTCGTTGTTTTAGCCAAGGGAGTATTTGTTTTCTGATAGGTGTCAGTCCATTAACCTATTGTGTGGGTAAGTGAAGACTGGCTTGAACGAATTGTTCCTTTAGATGATTCGAAGTATCAAATTGTCCGACACTGCAGAGTTCGTTACGAGTTTAGTTTTTTTTTTTACTAGACTCATACGTCGCCTCATACATTTTTTTTATTTCTCTGTCAATAAATTCAATGACGCAATTTCTACAGATTTACTACTGACAGAGTTGACATTTCAGTTTCATTCTCTAAATTTTCTTTTTTGTTCTTTGTAGCATATTTCTCAAATTATCTACTATATTTGTAGGTGTAAAAGAGGTGTACAAGAAGAAAACACCATATTCAGTCCTAACTTCATTTAACCAGGCAGCGTGGCATGTGGCGTGACATTATATTCAGTAATATGTAAACAAAGAACGTTCAGTAATATCATATGCCATATTAACAGTGACAAATGTCAATTTCCTCTTTGGTACCATTTGTCCAATACAGATGGCGATACTTTGGAATAAAGTTACGGTATTACCTTTGTATGTAGACTATCCATAAAGGCTCATTGAACCTTTTTCCTGAGAATAGTACAGCGAATTATAAGTCGGATAATTGATATCCGGAAGAAAACGTGTTTTAATACCATTTATAAAACCTCATATTAATGAGGTTAGATGTAAGAAATGGATACATATGCTTCGAGAAGAGTGGATTTGACAGTGCAAAAAATAAATAAATTTTCATATGTATGCTCTAAACATGAAATGAATAGTAAATTTTTCATAATTGATTACCATTGATTAGAATGAGATATAAACCTCAATCGTTTATTAAATCATATTCATTTATTATATTTAATTAAATCTATTTCATTACCATCTATATTTGATTCATATTTCACTCGAAAATAAATTATTTTTAATTTTATTTATTACAGTTTGAATCTACCGCTACTCTTTTACTAGAGTCTGTATACTAATATGTCTATGAATTCACTTTTTTTCCAATTACTTTTAAATTACGGCATGCTAGCCAACGTTGTAATGTTACAACATTGTTATCCTTTATAGTTGCAAATTTTAGTTTTGCTACATGAACATCTTCTTCTGTTTTTTAATTGTACTTTACCATATGTTTATATGAGGATTAGGCAGTGTTTGTCCCTACCGAACTACTAGCGCTGCTAGTGAGTGATATTTCGTACTTCAGGAAAAAGGTTCATATTATCTTGCATTCAAAACTTGACGTTTTACTTGAAGTAATTAACTTGACTCCAAGATAACAGCCGAGACTTACGAATACAATGTGTAAAAATCGTTATATCAATGGTTGAGATAAATACGCATAGAAACACTGGTGTTTCTCCATTTGCTTTTGTTTTGCCAAAAACTTTCGAGGTGAAAAATAAGATCAACCCAACTTTGTACAGGTGTTGATAGATGGTACAAGAATCAAAATCTATCGCGCGTATTTCGTTGAAATCTTCAACTTACCTAATATCAGTTTATTCCAAAACGTAGACAGCATCAAAAATCGAAGTGCCAACTTGACACTGTCTAGCTGCGTCATTTGAGTTGAACTCAGCACATATATATGATGGAAGTTAGTGAATAATGATTATTCGCCGCTAATAGTGCATTATCTAATAGTATAACATTTCAAGTAAAAAAACTGATAAACCTTTCTTCCTATTATCTTCGGGATATTACCTTTCGTGTTTACTGTCTCTTTCCTCGTCGTTGCTTAGCAACCATTTCCAGTACAAACATAAGTAAAAACCGCTTTTGTTGTTAACGAGGAACAGTAGAAAATCTAGACACAACTTGTGAAAAACCTGAAGCACTAAAAATATGAAATGGTTGTGTTGGAAGTGTACAAAAGAAATATCAAAGTGAGATATAAAAGTACACTATTATCGAAAGCGACATTTCTGACGTTTCTCTGTGGAGTTTTGACGTACACGCTGCCTTTCATTTTCGCATATAAGAGCGGAGGTAAGTGGAGATGTTTATCACATCTGGTGTACCACAAGGATCAAACCTAGGACCCCTACTGTTCAATATGTTCATTAATGATATCGGAGCTGAGATTTATGTCAATTTCCTTTCATACGCAGATGACTTGAAACTCTATCACAATATAACATGTTCTAATGATTGCGAACGTCTCGCCCTGAATTTAAATCGCGTTGTTACATGGTGTCGGAAGAATAATTTATCTCTCAACATATACAAATGTAATGTCTTACTTACTGAAAACGAATTTGACTTCACACAACTATGTCATAAACAATCAAGTTCTGGAGCATCCTGACACACTCACTGATCTAGGTGTTACTTTCGATTCATCCATCTCTTTCAATAAACATATTGACACTACTCTAACAGTTGCTTATCGCGTGTATGGATTCTTAATTAGAAATAAAAAAGACTTCGAAAAAGCTTCAACATTAAAATTACTTTAATTCACTTTTGTTCGATTTAAATATTCTATTCATTTCTTTTTTTATTCAAGGTCATAAACAATATCATCACCTGCTCTCAATTGTTACATATGTTGAATTTTTGGGGTCCTAGATGGTCATCTAGGAATAGTGTCACATGTTATCTCAACACTCCGCGTACAAATATAATGCCAGATTATACAAATCAAAAGACATTTCTTAGCTAACTGACAGTTCTGTTTTTGATTATTTTTTGATATAGATTCACAAATTATATTATGTAAGTACATATTTGTAAATGCCACTGTTACTCCCTAGTCTGTAATTGGGGTCATCCTGTAAAATAGTGTATGAAATGAATAAATAACTAAACATATCGTGAACAAAAAGGATACACTACCTGAAAATGGTTTCCGCTTCACGAAGTAGAGCTTAACCCTACAATCTAAAAATGAAATTGAAAATTGTGTTTTTCGCACCTCCTGGGACACACTATATATTTTTTCGACACTATGTTCTTTTGATTTATTGCAGGATTTTGGTTGAAGACCGACGTGTTTTTTGAACAACCTAGAGTGAATCTTTTGGGAGATTATTTGCTGGTTGCAACAAATGACAATTCGAGTAATCCCATAGTCTGCAGTACGTATCCTTTCTACAAGCGGCATCTGAACCATCTAGACTTTTGTTCTCTCATAAAGGTATGAAGAAAAATGATGGTCACATATCAAGTTTACAAGCATATTTGAGTACTAATATATCATATATACTAATCCTATCAAAGAAAATCCGGCGATCTCCAAAAAATAATATGACCCAAAATAATTTCGCCGATTTGGAGTAGAATAGTGAAGAATCCGTCAACAACGATAGTTAATTGGCACTATTCCGTTTTTTTCAAAATCTACACACTCAACGTCCCCTCGACCAAAACATATGATAAGATTTTTTTTCATAACTACTTGTTTCCATTATTATTATTATCTTCGTTGTCCAGGTAAAAAATATTCAACTTTCCAAACCCCTATAGTACTCTGACAGCTCTGTAATTTGAACTGGCAGACCACCAGAACTTTGAAGACACACGGTATCGTCGTCATGATCCCAAAACAGGGTCAGAACCCGCTGTTCCCACAGAACTACCGCCCGATTAGTCTGCTTTCGTCGGCGGGTAAGCTGGCTGACAGAGTCGTTCTGCAAAGGCTCAACGAAGAAGTCGAGGACCGAAATGTTGTGCCTAACGAACAATTCGGAGTCAGGAGAGACCACTCTACCGAGTTACAGGCTCTGAGATTAGTCGAAAATACCCTCCAAGAGCTAAACCACAATCGTAAAGTTCACGTAGTCCTTTTGGACATCTCGAAGGCCTTCGACAGTGTTTCGCACAAAGGCCTTCTACACAAATTACCCGCGTTCGACCTGCTTCGGGGATTGATTCGGTGGATCGGGTCCTTCCTGAAAGACAGAACATTTCAGGTCAGAGTAGAGGGCTCCCTGTCTGACAACAGAGATATCCTTGCTGGGGTGTCACAGGGAACTGAGCTCTCTCCCACGTTATACTCGCTCTACACCAGCGACCTCCCGAGGCCCCAGCGTGTGAAGGTGTCTCTCTACGCCGATGACTCGGCTCTCCTCTCATCTTCCATGGGTCGAGAGCTCGGGATCGTCTATATGCAACGTGCGTTCACGACCTCGAGTGCTGGTACCTCGAGTGGAAGATCCGAGTGAACCCAGCAAAAACTCAGGCGATAGCCATGGGAAGAACGATATCTTCTCCGGCTAGGAAAGTGAGGGTCTCTGGAAGGGAGATCAACTGGCAAGCGCGGGTAAAGTTCCTCGGCCTTCTAATAGACCGCAGGCTCACCTGGAACCCGCACATTATATCAGTTGAAACAAGGATCCAGGGCCGGATAGCCAGTCGGTACCCTCTGATCAACAGAAGATCCAAAATGGGTCACAAGTATAAAATTACCATCTATAACACGATGTTCAAGCCTGTCATCATGTATGCTTCAGGCGTCTGGGGACAAGCGGCTCCATCTAATATCTCCATTCTGGAGAGATCGCAAAGCAAGTTAATAAGGATGATTGTGAATGCTCCTTGGTTCGTGCGGAGTGAAGCCATCCGCAGAGATTTGCAGCTGCCTTCCATTAAGCAGTCCATTCAGTTCCAGGAATCGGCGAGTTTTTGATTGGTTTCACTTCAGCTTTCTGCGCGGCATTAGCTGGATTAGTTGTTGTTTTTCCGTCGGGTATCTGCCACATGTAAGTACCTATAAATTCGTAGGTTCACTTGAGAGGCAACGCAAGGCAGGGTTTCAACCTCAGTGGAAGTATCAGGTTATTCATCAAAGTATAATGTACGCATACTTCATATTTATGTATTATAATTACTAGTGAATACATAATTATTAGTAATTATTATCTTTTCAATTTCCTTGTTTGATATCATGTATCTCATTATAATTTTGAAAGACGTGATGTTATTTCAGGATATCTGTCCACTTCATATGCAATCTGCCATTATTTACCAACATTACTTTCATCAAAGCGGTGGAACCCACTTCCAAATCTTGGCGGATTTGTTGGTTCACCAAACAAATCCAATATACTGTGATAAAAATACGATCAACAATATTTACAATGAATCCATCATTGACGTTGATGATGATGGCAAGGAAACTAAGAATTTCGAAATAGATAATATAATAGAAAAATACCTAGAAAGAAATAGTGAGTAGGTCCAACTTAAATAACAACAATAAAATTCAAAATGTTTTTTTCTCTGTTCCAGTTACAACACATTTAACGAACGTATATACAAACGTAAGGAGCGAAAACAATAAAGTGTTTAACCTAAAACTATCAGTTCGATATCCCCAACAAAGGATTTACTATAAACCAGGATTCTGGCAGATAATAAAGGCAGCTTGGGTACAATATTCTGCAGTCTACACCATCATTGCTTGGGGTTCATTAAAAATAAAGAGTTATTTCTTTAGAAACAGGCTAGTCTTCTACTATGAAGATTCTCCGTTGAAGAAAAATATATGACACGAAAGTAAATTCGATATATCAAAATTAAGGTGCTATTATTGAACCCAAGAACCCAATTTTTTCAATTTTCGAACAATTTTATAGATTTTTAATTTTCAACGGTAAAAACTCCTTCAATAAAGCTTAGAAGGAAATTGTAGAAGAGATTGAAGAAGATATACACTTGTAACAAGTCAAAACAAGATTTTTTCTTTAAATTAATAAAAGAGAGTGTTAAAATCAAGTCATCTTTTAAACGCTGTCTCAATGTTATTTGGGGAAGTTATTCCTGGCATTTAGTCACTCCCCTGAAAGAAAAGACGAATCAAATATGAGAGAAAAATTACCAAATTCGACCAGAAAAAAAAGGATTTATCCAACTCATTAGTGACACGTCATCAATTAGACGTTTTTGAAATTAAATGACGGCTTTTGCATTCACGGGGTGTTCAGAAGTTTACTTATATAAAATCATCGAAAAGTAGAAAAAATCTAAATTGGCAGGTAATATTTTGACAAGAGATTGGGCACCTATGCCAAAATTCTAACGACAGATCCCAACTGGAGAAAAACTGTAAGAAATCGCTTGTATAATGTTTTCTTTATTTCAGATTTGATTTATTGTCTATCGTGAAATCAAATAAAAGTTACATTACAAAAGAATCACGGTAAAAGAATCCACCAAAACCAACAAAAAGTCGAGTTCAGTTTTAACTGGACCAAGAAATTCCGTTCGATGCCAGATGCTGAGCAAGCTCATCCCCCCAGAGGGGTGTTATTCAAGTCGGATCGTATCGCTGCGCCTGTAGAACAACAAATAAGGAACTCCGTTCCTTTGGGCTTCAGCACGTGTTCTTCCTGTACGATTCTGACCGAAGAATCAGCTGTAGCCGACTTGGAAAGAATCGGTTACGTAGTGTCCCTTGCTGGCCTCGTCACCGTCTTGGTACACGACGACGAGTAGCTTGTACTGCTTCTCTTCGGTAGACTGTGTTTTAACAAAACAACACCAAAAAAAAGTATATTTTCATTTAGAGTGTATAAATGTTTGTGTTTTGAATTGAGAAAAGAAGAAAGCAAAATTTAGTGAATTTTATAGCAAGTAAAATTCTTAACATCCAGTGTACTGTGTAGGCAAAAACCGTCATTTAAATTTAGGGAAAAACGAGTTGATGTTTTAACAAAACAACACCAAAAAAAGTATATTTCTATTTAGAATTCATGAATGTTTGTTTTTCAAAGTAAGAAAAAATGAAACATAATTTAGACAATTTTATGGCAAATGAAATTCTCAACATTCAGTGTACTGTGTGTACACTTATGTGAATTTTATTCAAACGTAGTATCATTTCTCAACAAATTTAAAATGTTCCCTATATATTTCATTTACTTTTGGAAGGTTTTAATTTTAGGGAGGTTAAGCTCATAAATGCCAGGAAAACGTATTTTTTTTTTTTTATTTAAAGGGTATAATTTACAAAACAGTTTGTAACTTTTTTGATTTCTGATTTTGAAATCCAGCTGTTTTGCAAAATAGCAATTAGGATTTTTCTTTGTCTTCTTTCAATAACGATTGAAAGATAAAAAAACTGGATTGTTCAAAAAATTGAACCTCACATTCAATACTTGTAATCTTCTAGTGCCAAACTAGTGGCAGTATGATCATTTTTCCTGTTATCTTCAACCATAATGGTATTCCGCAACATATCATCGACTTCGACAAATAAATATCTATATTCATAGTTACCAGCGTCATTCTGAAAAATAATACATTGACTTACAGACTAGAATATTTTGTATTTGTTTGAAAAGAATAATTTTTGGGGATAAACTTTTTGGCTTTCCACTTTTCATCATTGTATGGAGAATGGAAAACTTTTGAAGAAAACAATAAATATATCTGATTACACATTTCTGTAAAACTAGAGAATACTATTGAAGTGGGAGTGCAAGTCAGTTTCGATTAGAGGATAATACATTATTTTTGAACCTGGCAAAAACAATGACGTTTCAAAAAAATATGACTCCTAAATATCTCACCTCAACCATATCCAAATGTACGGTACCGGTATGAAAAGATCCTTTCAAGTGAAATTTCATTCTCATATGCTTCCTGCCATCCCTACCTGCGTAGATCAAATGCGAAACGTGCTGCCTTCGACCTCTTCTAGTTTCTTCGCCGTAAGCGGTGATTGGATATCCCAGCTTATCTTCTATCCGATGATCGGAAATACATTTTTTCACAGCCTTTGAGTAGATATTGTTTGGGCTATTGCTCGAGAAGAGTTCGCTGAAAATGGCGTAGAACAGGGAACCTGTTACTCCGACGCCCAGTAGTATTACTCCTAAGTACGATACTGTTTTTGTGGTTTCTTTCACTTTTTCGCCCAATGGTTTGACGTTTGTGTCTACCTCTGTTGTGCTTGATGTCGTCAGTTCATTTTTTTTTGTGGTTTTATGCCTCTTCACTACATGTTTATATATTATTGGGGTAAACTTTGTAATCTGATACTTCCGTAGAATAGGATGGACTAAATTTAAAGGAAACATAATTTTGTTACTATGTTACTAAAAATAAAAATATGTGCACATATCCTAAATCTAAAGGTATTGGATGTATAAATCTCTTTTTGAAAATAATTTTCCTTAACTGTGCCTTAACCTAAGAAATATAATTATCAGATGACTTGTGTCGTCATTGCAGTGTTGCCAGGAAAGTTTTGAGCGATTACCGTTTTATCGGGGGAAATTACCGTTTATTGACGTACGAATATAAGAGAAATATCGTATGTACTATCTTTATATATATAGAAATCTATATTCGAAAGTACTATTTTCGTCAAAACATATGTTGACGACGTCACTGGGAAATCTTTCGTCTACATATCAACATAAGTGCAATGAAGTTTCACGACAAATCTCGTGCTGAGCAGTCATACTAAATTAGGTAGGGCGGCATCATTATTTCAAATTTTGCATTTTTTTTCGGAGTTTGTTAAAAATTTGATCCAAAATATTCGTGGCAGAAACTTCTAATGCAATTGACATAATATAAGCAAGAGGGGAAAGCTCAGACGCAAGAGTATGAGACAAAATTATACGAAAATAGTAAATGCGAATACCATTAATTTCTAATGGGTTTAAGTCCATTATCTTTGGAAACGACTTATTATATGCATATCAAGTTTGGGTGCAGTTGTGACGCTCTTGTGAAATGTTTATATGTGTGGTAGTTTTAGAAGACCAATCGTCTATAAGAAAAGTTGCAATGATGCTATAAAACTCGAAGATGACAAAGATAATCATATTTTGTTTTGGGAAAACCACAAAATGTTTCTTTTTCTTTTTAGAATGACCTTTTCTGTAGTATTACAATATCACTTTGATATATCAATAAGATGTCCTGGTGACGTACTTTTGTGACTACGTGGGGAAACCAAATTGTGATATCAGTGACAATTTACAATTTGATGTAAAATAAATAAGTACTATATGGTATCGTGGAAGCATCTACTTGTAATATTGTCGCAATATGCTCATTGTGACATCAATATCCACCTCTTACGTGTATATTCCTTCGATATATAATTGTTCTTGAATTGATTGAAATTGGAATCCAAATAATTCACTTATTTACAGAGAGTACACAGCTTGCAAATTCTAAACATTTTCACCATTTCATAACAATTCATCCCAATAGATAAATCGATTAATTAAATAAAAATTGTTCAATTTGAAATAATTCGTTTCATTGGGTTTTTCATTGGTAAAACTAGTGCATATTCAGTGTAGATATCTAGTACACATTAAGTATATTTCTATTAACATTTCATCAAGAAACGAAGAAGAAAGACGTACTGTATGTATATCAGTTTTACCAATAGGCTGTCTCTAGACGTTTTTGAGTTGACAGAAAACAAAAATGTGTGATGGATCCAAAATTATGTGATTCCAATTACTGTAGGCTGTGCGCCGAAGAAAACAAAAATGGAATGCCATTATTTTCAGAAAACGAAAATACAAACAGTTTAGTACTGCTAGTTAATAAATATTTACCAGTCAGGGTAAGTTTGTAAAATAATTCAGTCATGAACTTGAGCAGCTTTGTAGTTTGGATCTAACTAGGTGGGAAATTCAAATAGAAAAATTTCAGGTGGAGAACGATTCCAAGTTTCCAAAAACCATTTGTCCGGGATGTCACATACAGTTGGAAGCTACGAAAATTTTCATGGACCTCATCATAAGTGGTCAGTCGAAACTGAGGAGTTTGTACCAATGCCAGCAAGAAAAGCTGCTGAAAGAAGCCAGGCAAAAGCAGCAGCTCGAGGAAGCATTGCATAGCGTGAACCCGAACAGCACAGTCGAAACTTACACGATCCACACAGACGAGACGGGAGACAAGTACTTGATTCAAAGTATGGCGAAATGTAACGTTATTCAGACCTTCCCTTGTCAGTAGCTATTGCTTCATTAAAAACAATTTTTAGTATGTCCTAATGAATAAAGAATGTAAAGAAAATACAAGTGGATTCCTAAAAATCAATGAAAATTCTAGGAACAACTATTGTAATTCTGCAAATATTTCAGTTACAAATGGGAAAGCCTCAAATAACGGCATTCGCTAGGTGAAAAATTACAACAAATCTCTCTCAGTCTGAGCTAAATTAAACAGTATTGGTGTAAAATCTGCCATGAGAATTACTTCTAAACTGATAAAGTGATCAAGTTTCGGGAGAAAATACCTGTTTGCAAGTACTCTGCAGTATATTTTCATAATTTGAATTTACACAATACCCTTACAAGCTTTTTGAGTATCGACACTTGAAGTCGAAACTAAACGGCAATTCATATCCAAATCGTAAGTAGCTAGTTACAATTCACATCAGCATACATTTTTTTCAACTATAAACTATGTATATTCTTATTGAAAATCAAGAATTGAATTTTGATGATTTGTGACATACTGAAACTGTGTTGTCGAGTAGGCAGATTGAGATCCTTGCAGAAACCAGCGACGAGACCTGGGGAGTAGGCAGGATGAGACCCTGTTGTCAAGTCACAAAACCTTTGCAGTGTGTCACTAGCTGATGAGTAGGCGAAAAATGGCTTCACAGTCTAAGCCCAAACGTTGAACTACAAAAAACACAAGATACGGTTCAACCCGGAATTTAAATTATCATATTTTCTGATTATTGAAGTCCAAGTTGAGTCGCGTCTGGTGTTTTAGTTGTTTGACGGTTCAGCTTTCAAGCCATTTTTAAGAAGCTATGACCATACTGAGTTTCATTCTGCCTACTCCACAGGTAGTGACACGCTGTAAGAAGTTTGTGACTTGACGCTGAGGTCTCAATCTGTCTACGCCCAAGCGTCAACACTTGTGACCACGGTGTATCACAAGGAGGAGTCTTGAAACCTCTATTATTTCTCTTATGTATTGATGATATAGTGGTGAATGTTCAAATCACTTGTTTACTGATGATAGACTTATATTTCCCAGGTTCATACTATGAATATGCGTTGAAAATTAATGTAAAGAAACCTAAATTCATGTTGATGGAAAATGAGCGAGAGTACAAAAGCTTTATGGGAAGTCAGGCTCCACACTTGAATATCTAGATCTAGAATTTCAAAGAGGATGCAAACTATATTATGAAAAAAGTAACTACCAAAAATTGAAACTTTTTTTGCTTTGCAGTATATTCAAAGGGACCTCTATTCCCCCCAGAACATGAGTTATCTTTAAAAGCTGATGGTTTGGAGAGGCCAAAACGAAAGAGGGGTAGACCACCCAAGCAAATCGTTGAACAAAATAATGCAGATGAGAAACAAGATGAAAAAGACGAGGGGGACGTTGAAACAGCACAAGAAGAGGAAGATATCGGAGAGGATGGTCGAAAACGAAGAAAAATCAAGGCTCCTTCTAGGTTTGCTGGAGAAGTCCAAGTACGTTACATAACCATTCATATTAGTTCTCAACTCAAATAATTGAAGTGGATAACTTAATGTCCAGAGAAGTATCAGTAACATCAGGTGTTCCTCAAGGGTTCCAATTAGGTCCTCTACCTCTATCAAAATCACTTTTTACATTCATGCCATAAATCTTCAAATAGACTTGGGAACATTGCAAAATTGTCGATTTGATAATTTTTTTTCAGGGTAAGGAATTGGAGAAAATTCTCAAAGAAGAGGGTGTATTGGACGATGAAAATTTCACCGATGGAACTGATTTAGATCCGTCGGTTGAGGAAACTGTTATAGGACGGACTGAAAACGGTTCTGGCAAGGACCTGGGTGAACCAATTTTCATCCATCGTCCAAAAAATAGGTCTAGATTTGGTAGGCTTACAAATTTATTTTTCATGCAGAGCAGAAGTTATTTTTCTTCAACACATCGNATTTGTTTTTTTAGTTTCAATTTTTCCTGATCTTTCAATTCTGAGCATTTGAGTCTCATGATCGGATAATGCAGAGGTAATAACTTCTCCAGGATGATCGTTTTTGAAGTTTATAAAAATATTATCCAGTAGTGAAGAAGATTTTGATGTTATTCTTGTCGGTTAATTTATTTGTTTGTGCAGATTATATGTTAATAAAAGGTGTAGAAAAGACTGGGCGGTTGCATTATTTGAATTCATAAGATTAATATTGAAATCACCACATAGTTTTGCATGATATTTCCTGAATTTATTTTGTACAATATCAAGTATTTCACTGAGAACTTATAGGAATTTATCTAAATAGATAGATACAATAGATACAAATTATAATACATTTAATTTCCTTACAAACTACCGATGAGTATTCTATTATACTTTCGATACTTTTAATTCTGATTTCGACAATTTCACAACTGTTCAACGGATTTTTAGAGAAGATGCATGATCTGCCGTGTATTCTTTCCCTTCTTGAGTATGAAGAGGTCATTTGATAGCTCTCTAACTTCATCAGATATTGCTCAGTCTCTGTGAACCAATGTTCTGTTATACATACAAATGAGGGTTGACATTCAAGTGTCTTCAAAAATATTCCTAATTCCAAGGCCTTATTTTTCAGACATTGTATGTTCTTTCAGGTTTAGTGTTTCTTTACTTATCTTATTATAAGCTTTTTTTACTTTTATTTTTTCTTCTATATTGTTAATATTAGTATTATTTACCCTCTCCACTTTCTCGAAAAAACTGCAGGTTTTCGTTTTCATTGATTTGTATGGTTTTGACCACAGTTTTCAGACTTGTTGGGGATAGGAAGACATTCTTGATGAAGTCACTGATCATAAATTTGCTATTGGGCCTATTAAGGTCTATTTGATACCTAAGAGAACAGTTAAGGTTATCTCTCCTGAATTTCTCTATTCTTTTTTGAAAACTTCGTGTTATANGTTCAATCAATCATAGTTCTACAATTTTTAAATTTTTTGTAAGCTTCATCCCTATACCTTGCTGCAACAAAAACTTCATGATCATACCAAGGCAATTGGCTTTTATATTGTTTGTATGATTTTAATGGACTAATAATATTGACTTGTTCACTTATGTTCTTAACAATGTTAGCATATATTGTATCGGTATCATTCAAGTTCACGTTCCAGTTGCAATTCATTAATTTTTCATCTAAAAGAAGAAGTTTTGTTTCACTAAAATCTCTACATAATTTCAAAGTGCTAGATTTCTGCAGCTGACATGATTTGATTGTAACAGTGATGATATTATGATCTGTAGTCTTAGGAATTTCATGGACTGAACATCGGTTTAAGGTTGAGGAGCTTAAGATATAATCAACCAATGTACTACTATTATTAGTAACTCTTGTTGGTTCATGGATCAGTTGTTAATGGGGAAACAAGCTTTAAATGTTTCGCCCTCAACTGCGATGAGCATATTCAGCGATAGTTGACAGTAAGCTCCTAGCTTTGTTGATTGGTATCCTAGGCAGCCAGTAGTAACCTATAGTTTGCTAAGCTACTACAAGAGTACTAGGATTTTCAAGAATACGTTCAATAAAAAAATTATCAAAGCTTTCAGCTTTATCTTGGTCTAACATCACTCACTATTATTGGGTTTAATAAGTGTCTCCAAAAATTTCCACATTTTCTTTGGATCATAACTATTCCAATAAAGATTTCATCAATTCTTTCAGATTTTTTGTGTTGTTTTGAAAATCAAGTCCTACACCTCTTAAAAAAGCACCCGTTTTATGAAGGAAACGTCTATGATTCATCGCATTTTGTTTCAACAGTTCAATGAGAGAGAACTAGATAACCAACTGATTTGTTTTTATATAGGGCGGCATCATCCGAATCCCTGAACTGCCCGAAAACGTCAACACCACTCCCCCGGCTCAACCCGATCCGCCTTACGAATGCCCGGAATGTCGAAAGACCTTTTTGAACAAGCAGAACCTCGATACCCACAGCCGCACCGTCCACTCGAACGAGAGACCGTTCGAGTGCAAGAAGTGCGGCAAGCGGTTCGCGTACATCAACAGCTTGAAGGGGCACCTCGCCAAGCATAACAGAGAGGATCCCAGTCGGCCGTCCGTCGAGTTTCCCTGCGACTCGTGCTCGAAGATCTTCCAACACCCGAGCAGCCTACTGTATCACCAGGAGACGGAGCACAGCGACGGAAGGCGGTTTGTGTGCACGACGTGCGACAAGGTTTGTGATCTGTCTTTTTATTTATGCATATTCTCCACCTCTATAATCATATGAACACACAAATGTTACCTCAAACAATCCTATCATTTCTTTGAAACATTTTTCACTAATTGAAATCTGCAATTCTCACAACAAACTAAAACCACAAGCGGGGATGATAACATAAAAGTGAGGGAATGATTTATAAATCACAGATACTTCAATCAAATATTGGAATACCGCAAGGTAGCATTCTCGGACCGATTCTATTCCACCCAAGCAAATTGTTGAACAAAATAATGCAGATGAGAAACAAGATGAAAAAGACGAGGGGGACGTTGAAACAGCACAAGAAGAGGAAGATATTGGAGAGGATGGTCGAAAAAAAAGAAAAATCAAGGCTCCTTCTAGGTTTGCTGGAGAAGTCCAAGTACGTTACATAATCATTTATATTATCTACTCAAATGATTGAAGTGGATAACTGAATGTCCAGAAAAGTATCAGAAACATCAGGTGTCCCTCAAGGGTTCCATTTAGGTCCTCTATCAAAATCACTTTTTACATTTATGCCATAAATATTCGAAGAGACTTGGAAACATTGCAAAATTGTCGATTTGATAATTTTTTTTCAGGGTAAGGAATTGGAGAAAATTCTCAAAGAAGAGGGTGTATTGGACGATGAAAATTTCACCGATGGAACTGATTTAGATCCGTCGGTTGAGGAAACTGTTATAGGACGGACTGAAAACGGTTCTGGCAAGGACCTGGGTGAACCAATTTTCATCCATCGTCCAAAAAATAGGTCTAGATTTGGTAGGCTTACAAATTTATTTTTCATGCAGAGCAGAAGTTATTTTTCTTCAACACATCGAAATGTTTTCAGGTATTATAAAGAAAGGAAAGAAAAAATATAGGTGCAACATTTGTAGGAAAGAATTTTTCCATCCTGGGCGTTGCGAATTTCATAAGAAATCTCATAATATTTATCACCTGTGCCAGTCTGGAATTGGGTGTGATTTTGAAAATAAGGACAGATCAGAAGTCGAAAAACACCAGATTGAAACTGGACACAGCGGAATATCAGTAGTCGACAAAAAGGATTCCATTGTGAGTATAATAGGATTATGATTACACTACAGATAATTTTTTTGTGCTCAGGTTGATAGAGAGAGAGATACGTTTAATGTCATAAGAAGTACATTTTGTCAACCAACAGTTTCCTTATAAAATGTAATGTATAACTAGTTAATATTAATGAATTATTAAGTACCATATTCTTCACCTAGCCATCTAATACTCTCTGCCTGTGTTGTTATATTGTGTCTAGTGTTACTTGCCTAGATAGATAGATAGATATCCTTCATTAATTCTTTGTGATAAAAAATCTTTTCATGTGTAGAAACATGTCAATTACAGTAATAATTACAGAAATAGTAAAAAAATCATGAGGCAATATCATTAATATTGGTTAAGAATATAAATGGCCACAGATGTATAAATAACAAGGTTATCACAGTCAATATACTTATAGTCTGGTTCACATGTACTCGATTTAGCTCTTTTTGGTGACATTTTTCAGCCCTGTCCAAAAATTATGACCAAGGTGTCATTCGATTCGTATTTTTGCCTAGAAAGTTTAAGGAAAGGTCCGAAAACGCGCCGATAAAAATTACAAAAGGTGGATGTCGAATCGATACAAAAAAGGAGAACTCAAAATGAACTAAAAAGAAATTGTCAAAACATGGCTCTGCCCAAGTAGAGCCTTGAAAAAAAACACAATTTTGACCATTCAAATAAACTGAAACATTTCAAAATTAGGATCATTTGACTTACATATCATCTTTATTAGGATTTGGATTTTCCCTCATAGACCTGGTCTTTGGATCGTAATACGCTGAGCCAAGGTCCAAATTCCTCAGATATTTTGCAGTATCTTCTCTTATCCTCAGGTTCCTTACTGTGATTCGCTGTTTGCTATCCACTTTTGTTCCTGGCATGTCAACCTCATCTACATATTTGTCCTCGTTCTTTTCTTCATCTTCCGATTCCTCAGCATTCAGTTTCTCAGCTTT